TCAGTGGTTGATACAATCTCGGCGGGAACATGAGAGTCTCACTTGACTGTTTCCAAATTTCATCATCTGTGGAGCCGGAGAGATATCTGGGTGCCTGCTAAAAGTCCACAGTACTACATGGCAGTTCACCATCTTCTGTGCTATAGCTATGAAAAATGATCATTAAAGGTGGAGGATGTGAAAGAGCTTTAAATGTTCTACTGCCATTCCACTGGAAGCAATGGTTGCATACGGTTTAATCAACATATTGACAACATGAAATTCCTATGATAAGTCTTAGACAAAAACGGTAATTTAACTCATGTGGTGGCAAATTTTCTTCGACTCAAGTGGCTAGGAAATCTGTCATGAGTCCCAATTAAACCGGCCACACTGCATAAGTCACACAAGTGGTCATTCATTTATTACTTTCCAGAATGTCTCAGTCACTCATCAGGCGAAGGCTTCTAGCCTATACAGGAATTTATATTTTGAACTTATGAAGCATGTCCATAAGATACTGAACAGGTTTCTGTTGCCCGTTAACAAAAGTCTTACTCACCGTTCAAAACATCTTGTAATTCTGTCACTGTTGATTAGTAGTAAGCAGTAGTCTTTAGGTCTAAGTTCATTGTTATTCAGAAACGAAGACAAAAACATCTCATAAATATCATTAGTATTGTCATTTTCATGCTCATTTGGCGTTGCTATGCTCTTGCTTGCATCATAGGTATCATTAATTTCTCCGACCACATCAACAAAATGCTGCTGCATGCTTGGAATGCTCACATACTGTTATCGTCTATTAACTTTCTTCGGAGTTTTACGCTATCGCTTTAGATAATCACTGATGACTTTGTAATCCGTGGTAGAGGACCTAAAAATACTCCTTGAAGTAACCTGCCGTTGCATAAGCTTTCAGTCTAAGGGTTTGTAGTCGATCCTTACTCTTTGTCTGATGCTAACAAGGAAGCTTCTGATCTGTGCAAATTTCTCCGCCAGTGGACAGTAACCCTTCAGTTGATGAACAACCTGAAGTGAAATATTTGTCAGTTACCTTACTAAACTCTCTTGAAATGACAATTACAGGCTTTCTGTCGTCCCAAAACTTTATATTACCTTCTTCTAGGGCAATGAGGTTTTCAAGAAAGAAATCTATACTGACGTCATGCTGTGTCATTGACAAAACAGTGTTATCTTCCAAGTGAGCCATAATGCCCTTGTTGAGTATTCTCTCTTGGATTTTATTTACAACAGCCATCCGCTCTATAGGTCTGTAATTTTAAAATAGCTGTTTGTTTCAGGTTCTGAAGAAGGGTGTAACTACAGCATTCTCCCAGCCATGTTATAGTATGTCTTGACCAGGCAACAGGAAAAGTATGACAGTCAGTGAATCGGCTGCTTAAATTAAAAGCTCTTCAAGGTACCATCACATATTGAGCACCTGAATTTCAGGTGTGTTTCAAGTGGAAGTTTACTAAGTCTAACCTGTCTACTGTTGGTCGTCCAGCTGTTGAGGTCTTGTTCAGTGGAGGTGCTTAAGTGAAGTCATAGACAGTTATCCAGTCTGACTTCTCTTTATCTCCTTTATTTCGAATTAGTTGAGATGTCTTGTATCCTTGACTAAGAAGAGAAGACTGATATTTCTCATTGCGACATTTTATGTAGGAGAAGAGCCTGTTAAGGCATTTTACTATGATCCGGATGAGATGGATTTAAATGCTTATTTGGAACTGCTGGTTTGAGGATGATAAAGTTACTTTAAGCTGAAATATATTACTTCTCCAACTGGGTAGTACCCAAGCCAATGAGATGACCTGAACCCTTTTCGGCTCGTAGACGAAAACTATGGTTTTCACAAGACTGGTGCTTTCTTGTCGTCTTGACAATTTATGGAATGAGAGTTTGGGTCATATGGAATTGCAAGTACTTGAAGCAACACTGTACACCTTCAGCTGGAGATTGTCAACAATTTAAGTGTTATTTTTCACTCTGATTTCAACAGATTATGCCTCCTTTCTCTGGAAATATTCATATTATCAGATAAAGCAACTCTCAAAATATTTTCTGATAAAAAATTGTTCAACAAACTTTTGACATCCTCAAAGTTCTTACTTTTTAGGACTGTTCACAAGGTGATAGACTTATCACAGTGTTACTGTATCACTTCACAGTTGAATGGGGACAAATGACCCTGAAATTGCGACTGGAATTTCGTATATTACTTAATTTTTTTTAACAGTATATCATTACTTACAGTTACTAGATGAGAAGGTTACCTATAGTTTGGCTTATTCAGCTAATCATTCACAGTCTTATACTAGAATTTCTGCTTGATGAGTGTAAACCTCACTTTCGGTTGATTTGCTTAGTTTAGTAGGGCCTGTAGTTCGTATTTCGTCAGTAGGTTTGGTATAGATGAACATCTTTACCTTCGTTGAGAAAACTGCCTGGTTTTATAACCAGTATCTTTAAAACTAACTATTGCAGTGCTGGGAGTAGGTAAACATAACATCAACAAAAGAGTTCAAAAACATATTTACACAAAAAACTACTCACTCAAGAAATTTTTAACTTATTTTAACTGAAAATTAATTCAATCGAAGTAAATATAAAAGTAGTCTTTTATGTGTGAAAACAACAAAAGTTGAAAGTACAAATAAGCATTAAAACGTTTCTTTTTTTATCAAAGAGCATTCAAAGAAAACCAGAGATTCATGTTCATTTTGTGAGCATCTAATAGCCAGGTTGTTTTCAGCAAAAAGAAGCCATTTTCATATTGTTTAACTAGTCTTATGTACTGATTGAATTATGTCGATCATTTGTGATGTGTTCACCAACTTAGGAGATTCACTATCATGGGTTCGAATCACAAGAAGGACATCAGTTCCGTCGAGGTTTCAGGTACGCCTTGCTGACAAGTGACAAAAGCTACGAAATCTAGGTCATGAGATTCCTGCCAATGGTCACCATCCAATCAAAAAAAAGATGTTATGTATCATTTGCAGTAGTTCGCCTTGGTGAATGAAAAACTCTAGTATAACTAAAAAATTCAGTCTTATAAAATGTTACTCTAAATAATATTTACCATCAAACATATAAGTAGTCGTGGACGGAAAATTAACTGATGAAATACAGCTGTGAAAGTAGGCCTAGTATTTTAAGAATGTGTATCTATTTATACTATTATTATTATTTGTCACTTGGGTTAATAATAAAACATAGGGATTCAGTAACCCGTCTCCATTACACTCTCTTATCTGCATCCGTTCAACCTGGCTCCACGACTGCACAAAAACTCTCATTTCTCCTCACACCATTTACTCAAGCCCACCCTCAGCATCAACGCACAACTCGTCGCTTCCCATCTCCGTTCCATTAGAGTGCATGGCCTGGCCTCGCCTGACCTGACCTGACCTGATCTGAAGCGTGATGTCCCCAATCGGTCTTCTCACTGCATGCACAATCAATCTACACTCCCTTCCACTGCATATTTGTTGAGTGTTAGGTTATTGCTTCGTTGGTTCATTGCCAGCCAGTGTGAGTTCCTTGTTGCTTATTCTTATTATTCTGGCCATCTCATCGATATTCAGTAAGGAGCCAGTGTAGGTGGCAGTTGTTGATGAATGTGTGTGATTTGTTGGAAATCCTTTCATAACTCACCAAATCTCTGAAGCATCACACTGAAGCACTGACTTGAGTGAGGTTGTTGTTGAAAATCCGGATGTTGTTCACGCTTTATGCTGAGTGCAGTGCAGTGCAGTAGATCTCCACATTGGTTTCAGGTTGATGAACGCCTGTCTTGCTATTTTTCCGATCCTGACTTCGACATCTTCGTCTGTGCCGCCACCACCACCTGTAGTTGAAACAGTGCTTCCCAGATAGGTGAAAGACACAACTCCCTTTATGTTTCTCCCGTTGATGGTGTTTGGAGCTTGTTGTTGTTGTTGTTGGTGGTGGTGGTGGTGGTGGTGGTGGCGGTGTGTTGGTTGGGTATCTTCATCACCTCTACCTCTGTCTTCTCTGTATTCACATGAAGTCCCGTATTCCTCCACTGCCTCACCTCTTCTGACAACTTGTTAGTTTTCGCTTGTAGATCTTCAAGTTTATGCAACAAGACATCAGACACAAGTGATGATTGGCGAAATCGAAATCTTCTAGATTGTTTTCATCGGTGCAGCGTATCCCCCTCTTCTCGCTGCTCACTGTTTGTTGCATGATCCAGTCCAGTCGACCACAATCAGGAATATGATGGGTGATAGTAGACAGCAGCCTTGTTTTACTCCTTGCTGTCTTCACTTCACCTCGAAGGTATCACTGAGCTTCCCATTGTGAATTACTTGTCATGTGGTGTCTTCACATAGTTGTTGAATGAGGTTGATAAATGTTTGTGGTATTGCGTAGTGTTGAAGCAAGTGCCAGCCGAATTGCTTGTTGGTCGACGCTGTGAAAGCCTTTTGGAAGTGGATGAAGTTGAGGTAGAGATGAGTTGACTGGCATTGTATACTCTGTTGTATGATGATGCGTAGTTTGGTGTTGCAATTTGGTCCGCACATGATTTGTGCTTCTTGAATCCAGTCTGTTTCGGGTTGTAGTTTTGTTAAATTTTTTCACAATAAAAGAGATTAAGTATTTCTAAATAGTTTTGAAATAGAAGAGGACAATATGAAGAGATACTGTTTTGATCTCATTTAAATTTCTGATGATTTCATTTTCAACTTATAACCTAACCACCTTTACGTTTCTTTACTTTCTAGGCATATCAGTATAAGCTTCTTTTAGCATTGGCCTGAAAAGTCATCAAGTCAAACTTTTTCAATAAGTCAAAATCGAAGTTATCAAAGTTATACATGTCAATTGTGAGACAATCTTTAGATTCATCAGCTACAGAAAGCTCAGTGATTCATGATAATGAAACTTGTCTAGTAGAAATAAATAAATATGAAATGATGATTTTTTAAAAAAAGTTTTGCGTTACTCTTTGAAAATACTATCGAACAAACAAGGATGATCAATGTAAAATGTATAATATTCTTAGAAAGACACCAATAGATATGTTATCATTAGAATGGTTGAATTCAGAACCGCGTACAATTGAAACAAGAGTTTATCTAATTAACAATCTTTTACCTCAAGTTATTCTAGGCCTTGAATTCATCTTAAAAGAAGCATATCATAGAGGTTTAATCACCAATGATATATTAGATGAAACAAATTATCATGTAGGATTAGACAGAAACTTTAATCCAATCAATAGATTAGCTGAATATCTAATGCGTAATAATCATAAATATGATCATTTCAATGAATTATCACCTTATGTTAGAGGATTAAGAAATACAGTAGCTAAACTACAAAATGAAATTTTTATGCGATCAGAAAATCAACTCGCCAATTGAAATTAACCTCAAATACTAAACGTATAGAAGAAAAACAAAAAACAATACAAATTAATGAAGAAAATAATCGAAGAATGAAAATAATTTCCAGTATTTATGATAGTTTTATATCAACTAAGAAAAATTCGGTTGATGCAAACGTGGTGAGTATTTTTTTTCTGTATGTGTAGTGTCTTTACTTTGCAATATACTATGTAGATTAATGAATTGACTACAACTGAAAATCTAAGCGAGTTTAAAGATCACCCTGACTATTCTCCCCCTAAGAACCTTATTCTTCACTGAGTCAGCAAACATCAAAATATAAAACCTGAGCTGTGACTGCAGGGATGACAACGTTATTTGGCGCACCATTGCGTAGATATCCGATTCCCACACACATAAACAATGTCCTTGACCAAAGGTAGAATAACACAATCTTATTGACTACCGTATCGTCCAGGAAGGATATTTGTCTATATATAAACATAAATCAAAATCTACTCCAACACCTGATGACCTTGAATGATGATTTTCATTTTTGACCGCTTCTATCACTACTGAAATAACCAATCAGGTTTATTTGTTTAATGAAAAAGTTACCCATGTGACTGAAATAAAGAAACCTTATTGGTTAGCCGTTAGCGTTTTGGAGGTGGCCCTCTACAGTCATTTGAAAATCGTTCCTCTTTATATGAAGATTACTACCGGCTTTATAGGGAGTATTGTATTAGTAAATATTCCTTGGGCTTAACGGGTTACCGGAAAAAAAAATGGTTTGCCGTACGATGTTCATTAATTTCAGTATCAGTATCCAGAAACTTACTAATCATATCATATCATATCTACAGGCAAAATCCAACAAGTTGACAGAACAGTCAGGGCAGCGAAAACAGGACTTCAAGTGAACGTGATGAAGATACCCAACCAAAACAGCCACCACTACCACCACCACCACCAACAACAACAACAAGCTCCAAACACCATCAACGAGAAAAACTTAAAAAAAGTTGTCTCTTTCACCTATCTGGGCACGGCAGCATCTTTTCATCTACAGGAGGCGGCACAGACGAGGATGTCAAAGTCAGGATCGGAAAAATAGCAAGACAGGCGTTCATCAACCTGAAACTAGTGTGGAGATCTACTGCACTGCACTGCACTCAGCATAAAGCGTGAACAACATCCGGATTTTCAACAACAACCTCACTCAAGTCAGTGCTTCAGTGTGATGGTTAAGAGACTTGGCGCATCACGTAAGGGATTTCCAACAAACCACAGACATTCATCAACAACTGCCACCTACACTGGCTCCTTACTGAATATCGATGAGATGGCCAGAATAATAAGAATAAGCAACAAGGAACTCACACTGGCTGGCAATGAACCAACGAAGCAATACCTATCACTCAACAAATATGCAGTGGAAGGGAGTGTAGATTGATTGTGCATGCAGTGAGAAGACCGATTGGGGACATCACGCTTCAGATCAGGTCATGTCAGGCGAGGCCAGGCCATGTACTCTAATGGAACGGAGATGGGAAGCGACGAGTTGTGCGTTGGTGCTGAGGGTGAGCTTGAGTAAATGGTGTGAGGAGAAATGAGAGTTTGTGAGCTATCGTGGAGCCAGGTTGAAAAGATTTCAGAGAAGAGAGTGTAATGGAGGCGGGTTACTGAATCCCTATATTCCACTAGGAATCCAAGGGACAAATTATAAATAATAATACTACTAATAATGATAGTAATAGATAGAATGAGAGATAAATCAACGCAGAACGTTCCACAGTAGTGGTTCAGCTTAAATTGTCTCATGTCACAACAGTTTCGAAATAACAAGTGAATATTATCGTAAAACGAAGGTTTGTGTAAAAAAACCAATCCATGTACAAAGATTCTTATAACTCTATTTACAGCAAGTTCACCAGTTTTTCGCCTGGAATGATTCAGTGGAATGTCCTAAACTAACAAAACTGCCTAAATCAAGTTAGATATATGGTTGTACTGAAGATAAATAGAATGATAGGAAACATCCATATTGTTCACGGCACAGAAAGAGAATGGAACAACTTGATGTAAGTATTCTCCATTAGTTTTTATGACTTTTGCTGACTTCGCTTCTTAATAAAGACAGTTTACCGTGTTTTGGTTAATGGATCATTGGAAGTTAACCAGTTTCATGTTGTCTAGCCCTGACTGCCAACTGAATTGAATAGATCATTTTATACTGAGGGTAACAAGTCAGCAGATTCACCATCGCGGTACACTCTGATAGATGTTAGTTAGATATTATCACTCTCCAGTAACCAATCAAAACATCTAAATCACTCTTACCACACTGGTAATGTCTCTGACTGCAGCACTAGCTGATGCGGGTTCAAACCACATAGGAGACGCCAATGCCGCCGAGGTCACAGCCACGTCTTGTTGATAAGCGCCAACAAACAACGAGACGTAAGTCGTGCAGTGCTTCTTGCCAACTACTTAAAACCAACTAACAATCCCCATACTTGTTTTTATGCCTCAAGACGTTATTGTATGCCTATACTTATGAAGTTAACTGACACATTTCTGATGCTGTTCTCTACGACAGAAGTACTGAATGACTTTATTATCTTCACATTTCATTGTCTAATGTATACTTGCAAGCTCACTTGAAGGTAAGGAGTAAACTTGTGAAAATTGTAAAAAAAATCTTATGCCATCTGTTTACTAAATATTAAAGGCCTACTGAGGTTACTTTTTACAACGTATACCAACTTATCCCAAATTGACAAAAATGGGGAAAACGTGGGAAAAATTAATGGCGAGTAAATGGGGGAAAATTGGAGGATGCAACAAAATAACAGCATTGTCCACACTAGTAGGGTTTATCTCCACTTTTTCCCCATTTTCCCTACGTTTTCCCCCTTTGTCCCCATTTTTCCCCCACGGTTTCCTTCGTCCCCCCATGTTTTCCCCATTTTCCCTCGGAAATCCCCACTAGTGCCTTTTTTCCCCGTGTTCCCGCGTTTTCCCCTGTTCCCCATTTTATCCCCATGTCCGTCAGCTTGGGATGTTGATTGTTGACTGAAAGGTGGCCGATTTCATGTTTTCTAGTCCTAAGTGTTGACCAAATTCTGTTGATTATTTTGTAATATAGCCACCAGGATGGGAGATTTAGCATTGTTATGCATCACAAGCATTTCAATCTTTGAGGAAATATCAGTTCCCTCAAGGTTACAGATACGCCTTGCTGATGAGTAGTATCAAGCACAAAAACCAAGCCAGGTAGGCCAATTTCCTGATTGCCTCCAACCAACTAACATCAAATTATGATTTCATTATAACATGTTTAATATGATTGTGATTTGATCATTTAAGATAGCAGTAGTTTGGCAACTGGTATTTGTACTTGGTGATGATTTAAGGTGAGATGAAAATCTGGACAGCGGCCGGACTCGACCAGCGACCACTGGGTTTCCGGTCCGATGCTCTACCAATTGAGCTATGAGTTCCGACTGCCAACCAGAATTTTATTTCACTTCAATCACCAAGGGTTTTGCCCGACTACCATGTGAATCCATGACGCGTTACTACCGCTTGATGTTTTCCACACTGGCTGCTGTATAGTCAGGACTTCTCATCTCAATCAAAATCTAACTGAATCAGAGGGTAGGGGGAGCATCATATGATTATGGTTTGATCATCTAAGATAGCCGTAGTTTGGCAGACTAGTATTTGTTCTGGGTGATGATTGATGATGGTTGATTATTGTCACAACCGATTGCTATTTGTCGCTCCTACAGAAGTGTTCGCATCAAAGGTGGACATTATACCACACGTCATCCAAATATTATCCACCAATTAGGTAGCTTACTTACATCGAATAAAGAAATGAACAAGTTGTCTATTAACAACAATACAGGGCCGAATTGCTCGACCTCTGTTGGTAGATGGGCTCCTATGCGGATGGCTTGATACTGCCAGATATCCATGATTTTATATTGATCTTGATGACTAGCAGAGGAATTGAGGATATGCGTTTAATCCTATTCGGGACTTATCAGTTGGATGTACCTATACCCCAGTGAAACGTGTATCCTGGTTTCCTCTCCTAATCACCAAAATCAATATAAGGATAATTTTTCTGTTTAAATATTGTAAACCCCTTGACTCTTTACTTGAATATTTTCTCGTTTTCATTGTAGATGCATGATGTGATATACACATTTTCAGAAGTAATTCTAAAATTACCAGAAGAAATGAAAAAATGCTTAGTACCGATTTTTGAAACACAGATAATGGATGACTCTGGAACATTTTATGATCGTGAACAATTTGTCAAGGTAAATAAACTTTATAAATTGTCTATCTATTTTTAGTTACTTCATTCAAGTCATTTAGTTTATAGGTTGGTCTAATAAGCTTGGTAGGGATTGAATGTCATTCACCTACTGTTATTTTCTTAATGTTTCCATGAAACAACATTGGTAAGTAGTTCAGTGATCTGCTCTATGGTGCTAGACGTGGAGAAAGACAGCATTATCCTTTTGATTCGTTGAAATGCTGCTGTAAGAGACGGCTAATCGACATTGATTTTTTCAATTGGTAGTTTGTCAGCGATTCACTGGTTTCAAGAATGGATATTAGTTGGAGAACCATTGAAAACCAAGAAGCATTTGACAACTGCTTTGCCTCAGTTGGGGATTACCCTACGGTGCCACAGGTGACCTTGCCAGGTATACTTCTCATGGCTGTTAGGTTTCATAGCAAGGATGTTGCCTTCCAGCCACTAGGTTCGAATCCAGTGGTCAACATTTTCCTACGTATGTCAACTAGCCATATGGTATTACAACTATCTAGTACCACCGGCAAGTAATCATCCTTATACTTGATTTAACTAACCACATATATTGGATTCTCATTATAACGAATCTAACGCGTGAACGAATAGGGTTTAACACAAATAAAAACGTCGACCACGACAACAACAACAACAATACCACCGATGCGCAAAGACAAGAAGAGAAGGGGGGTATATAGCATTTTCGTCTACTGGTATTCATAGGTGAGTAATGAAAATTTCCTAGCTGCTGTGACAGGCTTGTGAGGAGGCCACTATTATCAGTTTAATCATTTCTTTGTGAATAATTTCTTGTTTCAACAAGTTGGGATTATGTCATAACCAAAGACAACAAACACCAAAGCAGATTACACTGAAAATGGTCGATAGAATAGGAATATTATCTACCTCTCTATATATGAAGTCAATAGTTTCAATAACTATCATATTTGTGAAGAGAGAAATTATGTCAAATGACGTAGAGTATTAGAGTAAAACTAGGGCAATATGGTCGATAGTAATTCCAATTTAGTCTGTTTATTAGAAATATCACACAATGAAACAGTAGCATTCACTCGATAACATCGTTTCGGATACAATTTATTATCCATATTCATATCAGGCAACCAACTCCACAACTTCGAGACAGACTTTATATATTCCTAATTTTCTCTCCTACTCTGTGATGACAAGGGTAGTAGAATTTTCCATATATCTGGGACACGTACAGTATCATTTCGATTACTGCATGTGTTTGGTGTTGATTCGATAAACAAAAATTCAGTCAGTTATCAATCTCTCCCCGACTCCACCCAACTGAGTTAGTTTTAAATTTGTGTAAGGCCATGGCTTCCACAAATCTCAGAATACGTCCCTGACTGTTTCTATATAAGACTTTGAAAGCTGTTTGAATATTAACTTTGTGACCTGTTTCTATGATATGTTTAGCTATAGATGAAGAGGGTCGTCTCCCACCAGCGTTTATCACTGTTTCACACTCCATTTGTTTTTGAAGCCATTTAGGCACATGTTCTCCCACCCTCAACTGCATAACTCGATTACTCCTCCCTATGTACGTGTGACCACACACACATGTAAATTGGTAAACACAATGGGATGTGACGTAATCACTGATGCAGTGTTTAGGTTTTTGGTGAAGCATGTGTTTTGTTTTCTCTACAATGGTAAGATTCGCCGCGTAATACGTTTTCTTAATGGCTGATGTCAGCTTACGTCTCAAAATGATACTATTTAGCTCCCCTCTGTATGGTAGAGTGATATGGACATTTTTCTTAAGGACCGTGTATAGAGTTGGCTTTGGTGCTACTTGACCTCTACAACGGTTTATAAACTTCGTCGGATATCCATTTTCCATAAGTGCTTTGCTCAGTAATTTGATGTCTTCATCCATCGCATCTAGTGTACTGATACGATAGATCCTGTTAAACAGGCATTTTACTAAACCTCGCTTGTATTGGATTGGACAAAAAGTGTGGAAATTCAGGTATTGTCCTGTCCATGTAGGCTTTCTGTAAACTGACCGTCTTATTGAACCATCTTCTCGTCGACTGAGAAGTATATCTAGGAATGGCAGTTGATTACTATTCTCTTTCTCACATGTCAGGCTGATGTGTTTGTACGGCGTTAAGTCTATTTAGTAGACAAACCATATCCTCATGCGTCTCACAAATCACTATGATGTCACCAAAATATCTCTTGTAAAGAGGAACTTTAGCGATGAGATCACCAGCCAGATTTTCAATATATGACATATAAATATCAGCCAGTAGTGGTCCTAAAGGACTACCCATAGCTCCACCATGAACTTGTCGAAAGCGTTCACCTTCAAATGTGAAGTGGACTTTGTCAGGTACACAGCAATAATAACTCCTTCAGAAAGGTTGGAGTAATATGGAATGTGAGGTTTTTAGAGGATATATAATCACACAGAATGCTAATAGTCTTGGACAATGACACGTTAGTGAATAAGGAATTTACATCGAAAGAGTACATAATCTTGTTTCTTGTATTCATGTTACTAAGACAGTCAACAATTTGAAAAGAATCTTCCAATGAAAACTTACAGAATTCGTTTCGAACTGGATTTCACACTTTTACCAACCATTTCGCCAGTTTATGTGTGGGAGAACGACACATAGACAATATAGGGCGTAAGGGATTATTAGCTTTATGAATCTTAGGTAATCCATATAAATATGGAAATTCAGATCCCATAGGTTTCAATGAATTAAATTCCTCTTTGCTAGTGGCATTCATATTCAAAAGTTTTACTAAGTGAGTGGTTACTTTTGCTTCCAATTTTCTAATATCTTCTGATGGGACATCGGCTATGAATTTGCTTTCATCGCTGAGGATGAATAGCATTTTATTTTTATAGTCAGATTTATTCATCACAACGATACCTGATCCCTTATCGGGTTTAAGAATGATTATATCCGATCTGTTCCGTAATTCTCTCAAAGATTTGAAGTGCTGTGAACTCAAAATGCTTCTTTGTCTTGTTTCTGAACTATGGAATTGGTGAGCAATATCAACTAATTTAGCCTTTAACCAACTTTGGTTATCTGAAGATGTAGGGACAAGAGGGCTCAATTGGTCATAGAGATTTTCAAACTGAGCATCAATATCCAATTGAGAGATTAGCATGTATGGAACTGAAAAGTTGAATCCAAGGGAAAGCGCCTCTTTCTCATGAATTGAAAGTACAACAGAGGACAAATTAGTCACATATTTATCTGGGACGCATGGAAATGAGTTTGCATGAATGTCATTGAAAGGGATCTAGACAATTTTTGCCTTGTTCTATCCTTCGTTTTACTGATTACGGAGCTACAAAAATTGATGAATTTAATGTGGCATATAAGAGAAATATCCGACAGTGCATATGAAGCATGAGTATACATTTCAGTTAAGCTGCATAACTTCTCATTGCAATTATCTATGTGTCCTTTCATAAGACGAACAAGATTTGGAAGGTTTGGTTGCAGTTTAGAGGATCACAACATTTTGTAAAATTGTCTGGGAAAAATGTGATCAAAAATGCGCGATTTATAGAGTTCCAATTTCACTTTCTCAGATGTGATTTTACACTTTAAATTAAATAGTTCATTTAACCGCTTAACAGTGCATGGAAGGAATCTTATCTTCGAAAATTTGGAACAGTTAGTCCCTTTTATAAATTTAGATAGCGTTGAGGGTGAGAGAACATGTGCCTAAATGGCTTCAAAAACAAATGGAGTGTGAAACAGTGATAAACGCTGGTGGGAGACGACCCTCTTCATCTATAGCTAAACATATCATAGAAACAGGTCACAAAGTTAATATTCAAACAGCTTTCAAAGTCTTATATAGAAACAGTCAGGGACGTATTCTGAGATTTGTGGAAGCCATGGCCTTACACAAATTTAAAACTAACTCAGTTGGGTGGAGTCGGGGAGAGATTGATAACTGACTGAATTTTTGTTTATCGAATCAACACCAAACACATGCAGTAATCGAAATGATACTGTACGTGTCCCAGATATATGGAAAATTCTACTACCCTTGTCATCACAGAGTAGGAGAGAAAATTAGGAATATATAAAGTCTGTCTCGAAGTTGTGGAGTTGGTTGCCTGATATGAATATGGATAATAAATTGTATCCGAAACGATGTTATCGAGTGAATGCTACTGTTTCATTGTGTGATATTTCTAATAAACAGACTAATATGAAATGGCGCAAAGTGCTTAGACATTTCGTTTTGTCAGAAAAATCATTGAATTAAGCGTATTGTCACTCATTTCACTAGAGAACATCTATGTAAGTTGAATGTTTGATAATCACCAAGCTGATATTCGACATTTTAACAAAAAAGTACCGAGTTATGGTCGAGTTTAAGTCAATAAATGGTGGATAACTAGTCTAATTCTGTGTTAACTGGATGTAAAACATAATGAATAGCTTGTTTTCAGTTTCATTTTGACCATTGAACACTGTAATCCCTTGGCGTTAGTATATCAGCCAATTATTTGAACTCATCTCAACATGTCATACACCTAGGCATTTTCGAAAGTTTTATTAATTAAACTACCTACAATGACCTTCATGGATCAACACTAAACTTATATAAACATAGGTGATTAATAGTGTTATTGCTTGTATTACACCGTCGTTGATTGGACCGGACTGATCAATTTCTGTTGGCATACGGATGCCTCGATATTGCCTATCTTTTAACTATGTATAGTAATGATGGGCAGTGGCTAGCAGTGGAATCTAAGATGCACATTTCGTCCTATTTAGGATTCGTCAGCTGGATATACCTACCTCCCAGTGAGTGATATTGTTTCCACTGGGACTCAGACTCGGGAGCGGTCGCTTCAAATGCCAGAGCATCAACCAGTACAGCACTGAGCCACGGTAATGCTCTGGCGTTTGAAGCGATCGCTCCCGAGTCTGAGTTCCGGTGGAAACAATATCACTCACTGGGAGGTAGGTACATCCAGCTGACGAGTCCAAAATAGGACGAAATGTGCATCTTAGATTCCACTGCTAGCCACTGCCCATCATTACTATGCAAAGATGGTAAATGTTCAAAGAAATGTTGAATCTTAATTTAGTTCGAAGAAGGAATCTTAGCTTATTTAGTCTATCAGTCAAGATTGTTCTGTGCCTATTAATGAAGGGATCATATTCTGTATACTCCACAATGTTCTTCCTGTTTGTATATTCTTGTTTATCATCTATCTTTCTAGTATCTTATGATTTATACAAGATCAATGTCCACCGATGTGTTTGACCAATTGATGGAGCATTTAAAACTTTGTGCTGTAGAATTCTGGAAAGCAGAGGAAAGACACGAGAGACGAAAATTACTGAAGAAGTGCTTCATTTCGTGTGATTTAGATCAGGTAAGCTTATTTGTTTGCATCTGGATGATGATTAGACTAATCAGAACTTCCACTTCGATGAATCGTTCAATATATTCCATACTATCCGAATTACTAGTTTCTTGCTCAACTTCAGTATCAAAGTAGGTATAATGATGATCCAGTCAATACTATATGGATGTAATCTGTTGAGAAAATACTGCTAATTCTCAAAAAGCTGTCGAAAAAGTAAATATTTTCAATCACTCCATTTTGTGAGATTTGAACACCATCAAAATTATGAATTTGGCTCCCAAGTATCGCCCGTTGATTGGTTGAGAAAATCCTAAGTATGCACAAAAGCTTTTTCCTCTTCACGATCAGTTAGGAGTAGCAATAAGTGTTCAGATTCCTCCTGATTTGTCTGCTCTCTTACTTACTCGCAACTAGGTTGGAATTAGGATATATAAAGTTCCAAAGTTAGTTTGAGTGTAGAGCAACGTATGTTTTCAACTATATGAAGCTGAATAATGTCAATCAGAAGGAGAACCAACCTAAACTTATAAAATATGTATCTGTCAATTGATGCTGATCCTTTAGACCCGTTAAATCGCTAAACGTAACTCGTATCCGTTGCATAAATGGTCAGCAGTGTAAGTCAGTATTTCAAAAACGAATTCCTGATGTATTATTCTTATTATTATTTGTTCCTTGGGTTAATAATGGAATATAGGGATTCAGTAACCCGCCTCCATTACACTCTCTTCTCTGAAATCTTTTCAACCTGGCTCCACGATAGCTCATAAACTCTCATTTCTTCCTCACATCATCCACTCCATGTCACCTTCGGCACCAACGCACAACTTGTCGCTTCCCATCTCCGTTCCATTAGAGTACATGGCCTGGCCTCGCCTGACCTGACCTGACCTGATCTGAAGCGTGATGTCCCCAATCGGTCTTCTCACTGCATGCACAATCAATCTACACTCCTTCCACTGCATATTTGTTGAGTGATAGGTTATTGCTTCGTTGGTTCATTGCCAGCCAGTGTGAGTTCCTTGTTGCTTATTCTTATTATTCTGGCCATCTGATCGATATTCAGTAAGGAGCCAGTGTAGGTGGCAGTTGTTGATGAATGTCTGTGATTTGTTGGAAATGCCTAGTGTAACGCACCAAGTCTCTCAAACATCAAAAAGAAACACTGACTTGAGTAAGGTTGTTGTTGAAAATCCGGATGTTGTTCACGCTTTATGCTGAGTGGAGTGCAGAAGATCTCCACATTAGTTTCAGGATGAACGCCTGTCTTGCTATTTTTCCGATTCTGACTTCGACATCCTCGTCTGTGCCGCCACCACCACCTGTAGTTGAAACAGTGCTGCCTAGATAGGTGAAAGACACAACTCCCTTTATGTTTCTCCCGTTGATGGTGTTTGGAGCTTGTTGTTGTTGTTGTTGTTGTTGGTGGTGGTGGTGTGGTGGTGGCGGTGTTGTTGGTTGGGTATCTTTATCACCTCTACCTCTATCTTCTCTATATTCACATGAAGTCCCGTATTCCTCCACTGCCTCACCTCTTCTGATAACTTGTTAGTTTTCGCTTGTAGATCTTCAAGTTTATGCTACAAGACATCAGACACAAGTGATGATTGGCGAAATCGAAATCTTCTAGGTTGTTTTCATCGGTGCAGCGTATCCCCCTCTTCTCGCTGCTCACTGTTTGTTGCATGATCCAGTCCAGTCGACCACAATCAGGAATATGATGGGTGATAGTAGACGGCAGCCTTGTTTTACTCCTTGCTGTCTTCACTTCACCTCGAAGGCATCACTGAGCTTCCCATTGTGAATTACTTGTCATGTGGTGTCTTCACATAGTTGTTGAATGAGGTTGATAAATGTTTGTGGTATTGCGTAGTGTTGAAGCAGCTGCCAGCCGAATTGCTTGTTGGTCGACGCTGTGAAAAGCCTTTTGGAAGTGGATGAAGTTGAGGTAGAGTTGAGTTGACTGGCATTGTATACTCTGTTGTATGATGATGCGTAGTTTGGTGTTGCAATTTGGTCCGCACATGATTTGTACTTCCTGAAGCCAACCTTCTTGTTCCGGTCGTAGTTTTGAATTCAGTGCATCCTCTGTTCTCTCCAAGATGATGCGGCTATCCTGTTTCTGATTGGCTGACCTTGATTAAATGGCGAAAACCCGGTATAGTTGTTGAAGCAAAAGCCATATTTTGTTTTGTTTTAAGTACTGAATACACTGTTCTTCACACATTGTTCGTTATCAGTCCACATTGCTATATTCATACTTTTGACTATCTAGTGCAACAGACATTTATAGACACCAGGTAGCTTATTGTTTAGTTTTATAAGAGCTTATGGCATGCTTTTGAACACCAGAAATGTTTTGTGAACTCTGTTTTCATTTATGTCATTATCTCGCAGAAATATGATCACCTAGCCAAGTACTGACTTACCAGTCAATTAAAGTTAGGCCTTAACTAGGTGATGAACAAACGAATCTATAATCTAATGTAAAATGGATCTATTTTTTATCAGGAAGTGATAGTACCAGCTGTAGAACTACAGTTTTACTGTATTCGTTGATCAATAGACGACTAGAATGTTTTTGAACATAACAATAATCTTAATCAGTACAGTCAAACCAATTTTTTCCGCTCTGCACACTGCATAGCTTAATCTAAGGACACTGATGAAATATTGTCGTCTCAGTTAGTGTATTTCTTGTCAGGACAAGGTAACTGTATCAGTAGCTGTTATTATTACTATTGTATGATGCAAAAAAAAACTAATAATTAGTCAATTCTTCCAGAATTTCTTTTAAATAAGTAATTGAATTAAATCACCTGAACCCATGAACTTTGGTTCTTCGATCGCGAAACATATCGTTGAGACAGGTAACAGGATCAATGTGGCTACTTCTTTTAAACCTATTCACAAAACATGTTGGGGATGGATCCTTAAATTTGTTGAAGCCTTGGCTATTAGGAAGTTTGTATTACCTTTGTTTGTTCATAAATAATTTGTTATCACATTAAATCTTCCTTTTATAAACTCAACTATGAAAACCAACAAGGAACTCTGGCAACGAACTAACTAAGAACCTATCGCTCAATAAATATGCGGAAGAAAGTGGAGATGGATTAGGCATACACTGAGAAGGCTGACTGGGAGCATCAAAAGTCAGGCCAGGGTGTCGAGTGGAATCCCGTTGGGAAGCGATGAGTGGGTATCGGTGCCGAGGGTGACATGGAGGAGATAGTGAGAGGAAGAAATGAGAGCTTGTGAGCTATCGTGGAGCGAGGTTTAAAAGATTTCAGAGAACAGAGTGCACTGGAGACGTGCTACTGAATCTCTGCGTTCTATTAGGAACCAAGGGACAAATAATACAATAATAATGAAAACCAAGTTCGGTGTACTCTTATTTCTGCTGTATTGATTTTCATTGTTATTCCACTTTTAATTTAACCTTTCTACTTAACCTCTTTTCGTTTTCTTACCCCTAATCTTGATGAATTTTCAAATAAATAGTATTATTCTTGTATTATACCATCTTTGATTGGACCGGGTTGATCAGTCTCTACTGACATATTGGCCAGAGTTTAGTTCTGAGTTCGAATCCAGTGAGAACAATATCACTCACTGAGAGGTAGGTACATCCAGCTGATGAGTCCCAAATAGGACGAAGTGCTCATCCTAGATTTCACTACTAGCCACTATCCATCATTACTATTTTCATATAAATATCTAGAACAAAAACGTGTGTAATCAGACAGTTTGAAATATGTAGAGCAAATACATTACGCAGTTCAGACAATTTACGTCTTTTTATTGTTTTGTTCTTAACTAACTGAAAAGTTCTTGTAATGTTTTATTTAAAAAATTTATGTTTTACTAACTTTGTTTAGTTGAATGAAATAAATCGTGATAAAGTGTTTCATCTGTGCGAAATGTATTTTGATACATGTGAACAAACAATAAAACAGATGATACATTATCCAAGAGATTGTAAGTCGTTTATATGTATCATATCATATCAATTTTTTGACATTTAAACCAAATCTCTATGGAATGTTTCTAGCTCGATGACTTTCCAACTCGATCTTATTGAAGATTGTGATAGATTAGTTTCTCTTCTGTGCTTACTTGTTCTACTTCAAATTCTTAATCATTTAGTTCATGAGGAAACTTGAGTGCTGACAGAGTTGTGAGGGCGATTGATATTTCCCAGTTGCCCACACCGTGGAAGGCTATTTCTTCTTAAAGTACCTGAAAGAGATTTGTGTGACAGCAGAGCCCATTGGATATCAACTTGAGGCCTGTCACCCTCAGACTTTTGTGTATGGTTGTTTTGGAACCGGATGGTCGAAAGGAAATGACAAATGAACTAACACCGCCGCCCCGGCAGACTGTAGGGTGGGGTATGTTCAAGTGTGTTATTTTTGGGGCCGACCTTTTCTAACCTCCCCCCCCTTCACTGAGAAGGCAGCATCAGCATGGCACTGCTGGTCATGCAAGGGGAACACCTTACTGCTGTAACACCCCATCCAGCTAGCAACAGTACGACTTCACCCTCAGACCCCCATCATAGTGTAGTAATTTACACCACAACGGTAATTGCTTTTCGTCTAATTACTATCCAACAGACCTTTTTGGTATGGTAGGACCTCGAGAGAACAAGTGTTCCACCAGCATAGCTTGTTGGGTCATTGTGAAATGCAAGCCCGACCACCACGTGAAGGTAGCATCTATCGGTTAGTTAATGACTTTCATTTGAAAGAAAAGTGGATTACCTTGTTTGATATCAAATTTTAAGTAATAGTATAGCAAAAAACTAGTATTGAATAATATTAATTGATGAACTTTAGTGTGAATCGAAGGAAATCAAGTATTTTGTTGTTCAAAAGAGTATAGTAACTTATCAAGACGTAAAGTTACTGAATTCACCTTTAAAGTTGGAGAAAAGTTCTTACCTTCAGTACTGTTCATAGATTACAATTGTCTAGGGTGGTATTTATGTCAGGCTCGACCTACACATTTCCATTACAAAACATATATTATAAATCATACATTCAGCTTTTTAATTTATGATTACTATTTGTCCCTTGGGTTCCTAGTGGAATATAGGGCTTCAGTAACACGTCTCCATTTCACTCCGCACTCTATCTGCAATCATTTGAACCTCGCTCTACGACTGCCAACAAGCTTTTATTTCTTCCTCACACCATCTCCTATATGTCAACCTCAGCATCGATGCCCAACTCATCGTTTCCTATCTGGGTCCCACTCGAGAGACTGGCCTGGCGCGTGATGTCCCCGAATGGTTTTCTCAGTGTATGCCTAATCTATCTCCACTTCCTACTACTGCTTATTTGTTGAATGATAGGTTGTTGGTTGGTTCGTTGCCAGCCAGAGTGAGTTCCTTGTTGCTTATTCTTTCTGGCCATCTGATCTGCAGTATTCAGGCAGTGTAGGCAGTTGTTGATGAATGTCTGTAGTTTGTTGGAAATGCTTTTCGTAACGCGCCAAGTCTCTGAACAATGCAGTGATTTTTGATGAGTGTTCAGTCATCCAGAATAAGCGATTACGTATTAATAAGAAACTAAATGAATATTGATAGAAAGAAAAAGGGGAATAGGTGTACATAGTGAACGTAGAAGCTACATCATGTTGACGACCACAGTAATGAAAGTGGTCGAACAAACTTCTTTGGATACAAAGGCTAGATTTGTGAAGGTGGGCTGCAATCGCCTCTGCTATGTGAAGTAACCGAGTGCATTATCCATGAGGTAAATTAATTGGAATCTAATGGATGATTTTGAAGGCTTTTCTCGTAACCACTTGATCTCCTGTGTCAACTAAGTGTGCAAGTATGCAGCTCTTTATAGTTCTAATGTGTCCCTTGTTCAACCATGATGGGTGGTGCTCAGAAATTCGATGATGGAACTGCCTCATTGCACGCTCAATGCAACTAGCTCCACAGTAGCAGTTGAATTGATAAATTCGCATAGAATTGGCAGAATCAGGCAGTTTGTCTTTGCACCTAGAATTGGGCGGTTCTAGAAGGCTGGACATAATTTAGCGGCTGGGAATGCTTTATGCAAGACTCTTTTTATGCGTTGTGTGATGATCTCACTGGCAATGTCACTCTTAAATTGCAGCTTCAAGAAGATTTGCTTTTAGGAACTGTTGGCATTGTTTTCTTAACCCTCATAATATTCATGTGCTTAGTTACAAACTTGTCTGGGTAGCCATTCCTACTAAGCAGTTCACGGATGGTGGCGCACTCTTCCTTTGTAGCATCCTCTGAGCAAATAACTGAGGCACGGTATGCTAAGCATTTCACTAGGTTCCTTCTGTTTTGGAGGGTACAGCACTAAAGAAGTGCGTATATTGACTTTTTGATGTTGGCTTTCTATAAACACTTCGCTCTGGGGTTCCACCTGACCTTCTTACCAACAGAACATCAAAATAAAGCTGATAGTGTAATATGTTGAACAAATTCATAAGTTGAAATGAAGCAATTGATTAGTGATAGGTAATTTTTCATTTGTGTATTGATTGGTCACGTGAGAGTAATCAGTAGGTCAGTGATAAAGTCGTTTACTACAACACTGGGTGGTGCAAGCTCAGATCTTGCGTGGGACATCAGTTTCGTCGAAGTTGCGGATACGCTTTGATGACGAGTGCCAACGAAACCTAGGTTCAGAGTTACCTGCCGATTGCTTCTAACCTACTAACAGCTTTCATTTGTCTTTCTTCTACTTTGATATCAGTTTTTTCCTATTTACCTAAAGTATGGCAACTTGAACCGGTGAATGCACTTGTCTTCGAGGTTCTGCCCGTTGGCCTATCATTTATTCTTTTACTTATACTATCATATTAATAACATTGTTAACATTTTTCCTAGCCAAATAAAACTCTTAAATAATTCATACTTTTTCAAGTAGCATAGTGATCAAATTTTTAGTTAACTAAGCCCTTAGTTGGGTCACTAAACTGTTTACTCAGCTTACAACTTTAAAGCTTTATCAATTATTATTATTATTATTATCAAATGGATATCAAAAGTCGAAAATTAATTACCACGTGTATATATTGATAATTTTATGTATATATTTCATAATTACCTGTTTAAATGGTGAAATAAGATTTCACTTATATACGAAAACCGTGTAGAAATCATCTAAGGACTTAAAGATCAAACGTATAAATAAAACTTGAGCAATATGAAACTAAAGCCTCAATTTTGTGTAAAACCTCAAAGTCAAAAATTTGTCTAGAATACTATACTACTTGAATAAGTAATAACATTTAATAATGAAACTGTAAGCCCCAAATCATGGAGTATTTTAGTGTTTTTTCAACCCTATCAAAGGCATTGTCTAATAATTAAGTCAAGAAAATACATTAACTACAATGAAAAGTTGAGTAGAAGGCAAGCCACGGTCAGGTATTAAAGATGCATGAATACGCTTGATATAAAAAAGGGAATGACGTATTTATAAGTTCATAAGACGATAGTACACGTGTTATGCAAACTAAGGGGGACTAAATACAGTCTTGAAATAAGAAGAAAAGCTAATATGCTGAATTGATGGATACCGAACAAAATACACGAAAACGAAACTGTATACGCTATGATTCGTACCTTTTTTTGTCCCTTGAAACAAAAGGCTTCAGTAGCTTGTCGCCATTTCACTCTCTTCTCCTCTGTCTTTTGAACTTGGCTCCACAACTGCCTACAAGCCTTCATATCTTCCTCACACGATCTCCTCCATGTCACCCTCGACACCAACGCACAACTCGTCGTTTCTCATCCAGGTTGCACTCGACGGCCTATCCTAAGGCGTAATGTCCCCAAACTGTTTTCTCAATGTATGTAGAATCCGGTGCACGCCATCTCCACTTTCGTGACGACCCATGTCTCTGAACCATGACATAGAAGCACTGACTTGGCATTGTTGTTGAAAATCCGGATCTCGTTCACACTTCATGCTACGTGGAGTGCAGTGCGGTAGATCTCCACACTGATTATTTCAGATTAATGAAGGCCTGTCTTGCTTTCTTGATCCTGGCTTTGACGCCCTCATCCTTGCCGCCGCCACATGTAGTTGAAATGATGCTGTCTAGTTAGGTGAAAGAAACTACTTCCTTTAGGTTTCTCCCATTGATGGTGATTGGTGCTCGTTGTTGTTGTTGTTTGTATATCCTAATCACCCCTGTCTTCTCTACATTCACTTGAAGTCCCGTCTTCGCTACCTCTTCTGTCAACTTGTTGATTTTTGCGTATAGATCTTCAAGTTTGTGCGATAAGGCATTAGACATTATTCATGATCGGCAAAATCTAAATCTTCTTCTGGGATCTTTTCATCGATCCAATCAACGTATGCCCATCTTCTCGCTCCTTGCAACTGCGTAACTTAACAACTACTATATATAATACATTGTGCTTATTGTAGACTAGTAATGCATATGACTCGGTGGAATAGATGGGAAAGTGAAAGTCAAAAACAGTTCCAAGTTGAGTATTAGTATTATAATGAATTTATTGCTAACTAACAGCTTGAAAGTCAGACTTGTTTGATGGTACGACCTTCCTCAACACAAAATTCGAGAAGTAAATATCGAGCAGGTGAAGTGTATCTTAAGAGAAATGTTGAAATAAGTGACCAGCTGACTAAATGGTCCAGGATGCGTAAATCACCTGATCTGATCCTCATTACTAGTCAGTTATGAGTCGTAGTAACTTCGAAAAGGTTGCTTAATCATAATCTTGAGATGACACAATTGAACAGTAAGTTTTATATAAACTTCTACCGCAGTATGTTTAATGATTAATCAGAATTATTGTTTTTAATTTAAGGGGTTACTAGGGAATATCACTTAGGATTGTCACTAAAGGAATCATCTCCAAGAAAAGAGTCGATGAAATGGCAATCATCAGCGAAAAGTGAAAACAATAATCAAAGGAAAACTGAACAAATTTTATCCAGTGAAAAAATCAATGATTCTACTGTTGAAGTCTTTGAAAAATTAGTAAGAAATCAAATCAGATAGGATCTCGTCAATTAGATGATCTCAATATCAATTCAGTTAAGTGTAAACAAAAAGGTAAGTTGAATAGTTTTATGATTTAGCCTTCAGAAGATATCGGGAAGTAGATTAGTATCGATTTCCAATCTTCGTCTAAACATTCAGTAACACAAGTTCAGATTGTATGAAAGGGGAATCATATAGAAAATCTAGAAATTTTTTTCATAGTGATCAAACTACTTATGTTAACTGTTACAAAAGTCTTTATCATATAGAATAACATAAGAAACCTTTCGTAAATGATACCTAACAGTTAGTAAATTCAGTTCAGAAGTTTATGGGGATCTATTCATTTCATTACTGAGTGGCACCAGTTGAAGAATTATTATTGAAAACCTGAGAGGATTCGGCAACTGTTTCTTCCTAGTATCGGACTTCTCATCAGTATGCACCCACGAGCTAACCAGGAGTTCAAACCAGAACCTACAGATTTCGTGACTACCATGTTACCATTTAGTCACTCTTCAAGATGGGTTTTCCGTTGTCCTGGTGATAACTCATAACTTATACAATCAATCAATTCGAATTTAAGGACAAGTATTCAACGATGGCAATAAATTGACAGAAGTGAAAAAACATGAACCGTTAAATTACATCGAAGTGGCTGAGGGATAACCTGCTGGCAGCATAAACTAAAGATCCTGGATTCTTTCAAGGAGGGTGTCATGGGTATCCAACGCTGAAGAGTTCAACACTAGGAAGAAACGAATATCTGGGGTTTTTAGGTTTTTATTGGTTCTTTAACTGATCGTAAACGGTTATAAGTACCGTTCTGACGTTACTAAACTATCAATCGTTTATCGCAGGTATGCTTTACCACTTAATAGGCCTCAGTACAAACAGTTCCACCAACCTACTGTATCTCATCACTTAACTGATTACTTTTTTATCTCTTGTTTGATTTTAGTTTTCTTTACTTTTCTTGGTATAATTATTATTATCATTTGTCCCTTGGGTACTTATGGAACATAGGACTTCAGTAGTACATCTCCAATGCGCTCTGTTCTCTGAAATCTTTTGAACCTGGCTCTACGACAGCTCACAATTTTTCATTTCTTCCTCACATCATCCACTCCATGTCACCCTCGGCACCGACACCCACTCGTCGCTTCCCATCTGGGTTCCAATCCGGGGACTGGCCTGACGCATGATGTCCTCAGTTGGCCTTCTCAGTGCATGCCCAACACAATCCATCTCCACTTCCTTCCACTGCATATTTGTTGCGTGATAGGTTATTGCTTCGTTGGTTCATTGCCAGCTAGTGTGAGTTCCTCGTTGCTTATTCTGATTATTCTGGCCATCTCATCGATATTCAGTAAGGAGCCAGTGTAGGTGGCAGTTGTTGATGAATGTCTGTGGTTTGTTGGAAATCCCTTACGTGATGCGCCAAGTCTCTTAACCATCACACTGAAGCACTGACTTGAGTGAGGTTGTTGTTGAAAATCCGGATGTTGTTCACGCTTGTTTCTGAGTGGAGTGCAGTGCAGTAGATCTCCACTCTAGTTTCAGGTTGATGAACGCCTGTCTTGCTATTTTTCCGATCCTGACCTTGACATCCTCCTCTGTGTCGCCACTACCGCCTGTAGTTGAAACAGTGCTTCCCAGATAGGTGAAAGAGACAACTTTCTTGAAGTTTTTCCCGTTGATGGTGTTTGGAGCTTGTTGTTGTTGTTGTTGGTGGTGGTGGTGGTGGCTGTGTTGTTGGTTGGGTATCTTCATCACCTCTACCTCTGTCTTCTCTACATTCACATGAAGTCCCGTATTCCTCCACTGCCTCACCTCTTCTGATAACTTGTTAGTTTTCGCTTGTGGGTCTTCAAGTTTATGCTACAAGACATCAGACACAAGTGATGATTGGTGAAATCGAAATCTTCTAGGTTGTTTTCATCGGTGCAGCGTATCCCCCCTCTTCTCGCTGGTCACTGTTTGTTGCATGATCCAGTCCAGTCGACCACAATCAGGAATATCATGGGTGATATAATACTGTTGTTTTAATCTTTAGAATTCGAGCGAAAATTGAATCGAATTAGTACTATTATAACTTATACTATATTTGACAATATGTTATCAAATTGTAATGAAATTGAAATATAATGCCACTGTTTCCGTTTTTTGCAGCCAGTTTTATCAATGGAAATAGTTGTTTATATGTTCATTTAGGTTTTTATACCTTAGGAATAAAATAGTGTCGATGGTTGATTATGATAGGTACCATTCAAGAAGGTTTATGTAAGTTGAAAAGAAGAACTACAAACCTGAAACCTATGGATTCATGAAGTCAATAACTTTTGATCTTAGTTGCATAGGAAAATCCTTAAGATACTAGAGATTAATGATTACAGACATGTTGATGAGATTCGCCTAATTGTTGTAATGGTGACTGACGTTTTCTTTGCGTTACAGTCAATTCGTTTACGCGTTAGGCTCGTATTGTTCATAGTCTGCTAAGCTCGTATCACTTGAAGAATGTTAGGTCGTACTACCATACTGCCCCAATATTGGTCACACTTACCTGTATTCACTCAATTTTTTATTATGAAAAACATATATGGCTAGACTTTGTTTCTACATCTCTTCAGCTACTTTCTAACGTCATTATCTCCCTAATTTGTTAAACCTCAGTGGATTATCTTCAGCCTAACGAATTTCGCGTCAAGTCTTTTGTCAATATTTTTAATAGTCTGCTAATTAACGTTTCTTTAAACTGTAATCCTAGAAGTTGAATTAGTTTGGACGAAAGCTCGCAGTAGTGAAACTTAAACGTTGTAACAGTCCACGAAGTCTATGGCTCCAATAGTTGAGGACTGTTGGTGAAATACATTGAAATTGGTCACCATGATGTAGATTTATTCACATGTCTTCTAAAGCTTGAGTACTTTCACTTACCTTCATTTTCGAATTCTCTCTCCACCTACACACTTTTATTTGCATTGATGATATCAATCCTTTTCTGTCCAATTGTTCCATGAATGATACTATAAAGTGTGGTAACTTGAACCAATACGCTTATGTCCAAGGTTCTATGTTGATTTAGCCTCTTTGTCGGTATTCTTAAGAATTTTAACTCATATCATTGCTCAGATTAAGAACTAGAATTTTCTGATAAGACTCATCAATGATCGTTTCTGTCTTAAATAGCCCATTAACAGAATGTTGTAGAACAAAACATGAGAGAGTAATCAGTGAATTCTCCTGTTGAAGTATTATTTAGCACTGTATTATAATCTTATTTGTATGTCAAAGGATGTTTGTAGCTCAGGGTATGAATGTTTAAATTGATTTGTTTAAGTAAGTAGTGTACTGATAATGATGTCTGGAATAGCATTGAAGTGTCTACCACCTAAAATTCTGTCTTAGAGGATAATTCAATTTAGAAATTATAACTGTATCACTTCCACTCAATTTGTTTTATTGTATTTTGTGAACCATTTAATGAACTTTTGTCTTTCTCACATTATTTTCTTTATAGCCAAGTTTGTTGTATTTATAACATCAACTTTCAATGATCACTTGATACAATTAGATGTTGGTCTCAGTTTTCTTACATATTTGTATTTTACTTAGGGATTTGTAGGGAATTTATTTCATTTTAACGTTGTCTGAACGTCTCATGTGAATACTCTACACACAATTACATAAACCAAAACAAAACTCCAAAGTGGTGTTCATCATGTAATCATATCAATTAGAGAACCAGTGAAAACCTGAGAACACTGTTTCGTCCAAGTATACTACTATTCAGCCGTCCATGGCTACCAGGTTTTCAATATAATGTAGCTCAGGTGGATGGTCTTGGTTATATTGTTTCTTCTAAGCTGGGTTGTTTAGTCATGCAGCTTTCATCGTCTTTCTGGACGACATCATCAACACTAATTTCAGTATGAAGTTGGTGCTGATGATGTTGTCCAGAAAGACGATGAAAGCTTCACGATTAAACAACCCAGCTCAGAGAACACCATACAACCAAGGTTTTTAATAATTAGTTTATGATGAATACCATATTAATATCAACCAGACGTTCAAACCATACTGTAATTCATGGATAGGAACAAATATGTTGTAGACTAAATGAAATATGAGAAGCATGACAGTATAGCGTTGATAATGTCTGATGGATAAGGCGGATAATGAGGAGATGGTTGGAAGCTATATCCGAACTGTATTCATCATATCATTGGAAATGGGATGGTTAATGACCGAAAAAGAATGTCTAACAACAATTTGAAGCTTAAAATCTAAAGAGTTTTCGACTGAATACTACTAATAAGTTTGTTTATCTAAAGAACGAAAAATGCCTAAATTTACTAGCGATGATTGGTTGTATAAGCGTGACATCAGGAACGTCTTTTACAATGTATTGAAAAGATTACAAAGAAAATATGGCTAAAGCATGAATAGCTAAATGTTCAATAAACTGATGAATTCGAAGACACACATTTTTGCCACAAATTAATACCATTTCTAGAGGCATTCAAAAGTGCTGAATACTAAATTTTTGTCTTGTAGTTGAAACCATCTCCACTGTACTAATCATCCTTCATATATTGATTGAACGGACAGTTAAAGATTGTTGTATGCACATTCGTTGATATAGAATAAAAAGATAAGTTATTATTATTTGTTCCTTGGGTTCCTAGTGCAACATAGGGCTACAGTAGCAAGTCCCCATTCCACTCTCTTTCTGCAGTTTTTTGAACCTGGCTCCACGACAGCCCAGAAGCTCTCATTTCTTCCTCGCACCACCTACTCCATGTCATCCTCACCTTGGACGCCCAACTCGTCGCTTCCCATCTGGGTTCCACTCGAGGGACTGGCCTAACGAGTGATATCCCCAAATGGTCTTCTCAGTGCATGCCCAACACAATCCATCTCCACTTCCTTCTACTGGCCATCTGATCTTCAGTAACGAGCTAGTGTAGGTAGGAGTTGTTGATGAATATCTGTAGGTTGTTGGGGATGCCTTTTGTAACGCGCCAATTCTCTGAGCCATACAGAAGCAATGACTTGACGTTAGTGTTAAAAAGATAATTAAAGCATCTATAAATTGAGTTGGATTCACGTGTCTTGTTTATCAAATTTTTTCGGTCAATAACCTCCTGACCGTTTATCATATGCTCTTCCGTTAAACTTACAGTTCGGCTTCAATTCCACTTTTTCACATGTAGTGGTTACTTTTTCTTCTTCAACAGTAAGCTATATCACGACAAGTTTAGTTGATAGCAGTTACGCAATCCATCGTTACTCGGTTATATTTGCAACTAGGAAATAAGATATACTCTTGTGAATATTTAATAGTTACAATCTATGTTTAGTAATGATGTGCAGTGGCTAGCAGTGGAATCCAGGATGTGCATTTCGCCCTACTTGGGACTCGTCAGCTGGATGTACCTACTTCCCAGTGAATAGTGTTAATCCCACCGGGACTCGAACTCGGGAGCGATCGCTTCAAACGCTAGGGCGTTATCCACTACACCACTGAGCCACGATAGCCACTTCTTGTGCAACGGGTATAGGTTTTAGTGTTATTGCTTGTATTACACCGTCGTTGATAGGACCGAATTGATCAGCCTCTGTTAGCATATGGGCTCCTATGCAGATGCCTCGATATGGCCTGTCTTTTAACTATGTTTAGTAATGATGGGCAGTGGCTAGCAGTGGAATCCAGGATGCGCATTTCGTCCTATTTAGGACTCCACAGACCATATCGAGGCATCCACATAGAAGCCCATATGCACACCATTAATAACTAAATTGTATTCATTTTAATCTTCTTGACTGACTTTATTTCCATGATTATATTTCTTATTCATTATCTCATTCAATATTTATCAGATAAGTTGATAAAAGTTGATCAAATAATTGAAACGAATGGTTTAACACAACATCAATTCATCAGTATTATGGAGTTTTTAATACCGGAAACTGTTCCACTGAATATTTTGCAACAATGTTTAATGGTTTTACGAAAGTATACTGAAACAACTGAAGAACATGATGAAAGAAAACTTAAGGTGTGTATTTTTAATTCTTTATATTCAATGAATTTGTTTTGTCTAGGTATATCAATGTATTATTATGTGATATCAAGTGGTTAACGAAAAACATTGTTTTATTTGAATGAAGGTAATCAATAGGAAACTCTTCTTGACCTAAACTTGGTACTTGTTAATACTTGTCAGCAAGATGTATGTGCATTCTCCAAGGGACTCATATCCCCTATGATATTTGAACCCATATCACGTCAGTGCTGCAATCCTAGACGTCACCAATGAGGTACTGAGGCCACGATTTATCTCTTAATAACAACATATTTACACTTGGTTGAAATTGAAATGAAAATTTGAACTAGCAACCATCGGGTTTCCGGCTCAGTGCTACACTAACTGAGCTACGGTACCCAAATTCTGACCAGATTTGTATTTTACTTCAATTATCATGGGTTTTGTCCGATTATCATGTGAATTCAGGATGCGTTACTACCGCTTGATCGTACTCAGATTGGTTGTTTAGTTAGGACTTCTCATCCAAATTCAAATCTACATGAATTAGACAGGGGGGGGAACATCATATCGATTATCATTTTGACTATCTAAGGTAGCTGTAATTTGGTAGTCTAGTATTCATACTGGGTAATGGTTGAAGGAGAAATGAAAATTTTGACTGCGGTCGGATTCGAACCAGAGATGACCGAATCCCGTCTCGGTTCAAATTCAGTTTGTAATATTGCAACAGTTTACTCTCTGTACAACATTTTTCAAATATTTATTAATAATGGTACTTGTTAGTAATATACAATAAAGAATAACATGTTAGTTGAAATGCTCAATGACTTCACCGTCATGCCAACTATTTGCTATTACAAAGTTGATTGATAAGATTATGTCTAACAAGATTTTCTTCACACACTACACAAGCTAAATAAGGTATGACTGAATTTTTATATATATATGTGCGTCCATAAAGTTTAATATATTTTCTTCTTGTCGTCCAAGCGACAGATATGGAGAGAGATGCAAATGCAGGGGATGCTTGTCATCAGATAAAATATGTTTAGCTAGTTGTCTATAAGAGTTCAGGTGCTTAACCATGACCGCATTTATTAGCACGTGTGTACTACATGCTACCCAAACATCCTTCAAAATCCTACTCAATACAAAGTAGTCATTTTTCTGGAGTTCAGGAAAGAATAAAGGGAAACAATAAGTATAAGTGAAACACAGGAATTATTGAAACTTAAGAGTAGATGCTGAGTTATGCGAGACGGTTCGAGTTGTCGAATGTCAAAGGTCAAGTGAAGGATTTTCCTGGAATTCAATAAGATATGAAGTAACCGAAAAAGATCAGAAAGAAAACATAAGCCAAGATGGATGAGGCTTGATGACTTCTCTGCAACACAGACATCGATAAAGCAACAGCCATAGAACTGGAGTAGTTAACACAAGTCTAGCTCATGTCCTAAGCTCAAACTAACTATCTGAAATTTTTAGGGACTGAGTCTAAGGCTGTTCAATGAAGACCGGTGACTTATTTAGCTTAAGAAATTATTAAAGTAAGAACAATATGAAGAGATGATCGGTGTGGATGCAGTTAGGTCATATTACAGAAAGGAACAGAAATAAAGGGGGAAATAACACAACCTTGAGGCACACCAGCTTCACTAAGTAGCGAAGTAGAGCTGTCCCCTTTGTATAAACTGTATTGTCTTCTCTCAGGAAAATAAGAATGAAACCAGTTTCAAACCGAAGACTCAATGTGAGTTCATGCAAGCTTGTTCAATAAAACGGGTCCAGAGGGAGAATCAAAGGCATAAGTATAATCCAAGAAAGCAGATCTGGCATAATTTGCACCTTTTTCTAGACTAGCGATGATATTATGATGTAAAACAACTACACCATCTAAAGTACTCCTTCTGGATTTGTAGACAAATTGATTTGGTTCCTTGTTTACCTCGTTTAACTAGGAATTGGTACTTGCTATCGTTTGTCGTTAAATCGTACGGGCTACGGATACTTCGCCTAACATTTAGTTGACAGTATTTATGCATACGATCAAAGACATCATTCCGAAACTACTCATATCTGTAAAGATTGTAATTACATTCAGATGTCACGTTATCTAACTCATTGGCAACCTTCCAGAATTCGGGAGATAAACTTAAGTTATTTCGGAAAGCATGAATATGGAAATTTTTCTTGGTACTCATTAACCAAATGATTCCTTTTTTGTCTTAAATTACTAACCTATTGTAATTGGTCGTGGCAACTTTTATTTCACATCTGATTGTATCAAAAGTTCAGAGACTGTACAAACTGGTTACATGTCCTAGGTTGACTCCACCTCAGATAACATGGTCCAATGAAGTAGGCGGTATCTTGGCACTATGATACAGGAATTCATGCTAATTAGTTCCTACGGTATATATATATATATATATATATATATATATATATATATTGATGTTTAAAAACTTGATTCCCTGTGCATTTTTTCCAGCATTTCCAAAGAAATATAAAATTGAAAAAGGATCTTCTCATGAAGAAAATATTTCATACAATGAACCGTGAATGTTCTGGAATGTTAAATTTAAGAAAATTCGAAAATTATTTACTTGATTATGAAGATGGATTTTATGAAGCACATTTAAAGCAAGGTAACTAGTGAAAAAAGGGATGTACGTCTGCTCTACGTTCATTTAGTCAACCTTTATCCACTTATTTCAAGTTGGTATTTATCATTAACTGACATTGGTTAGAGGAACATTGGAAACTCCACAGCACTGCGCACTCATGATCCCCTCTCTCAGGGATGGAACCCAGGGCCATCACTGTTTATGAACGAGCACAATACCGTTAAGCCATTTAGTCCGAATCAAAGGTCCACATTTTTCCTGGCTTTGTCATATATGCGGACTGCTGAAGATTCTTATATTAAGATAAAACAGCTGTCCTATGCTTTCAGGTTTTCAGCGATTCTCCAATTGATGTCAATCCATGATGGATGCCAACTTGAAACTAATAAAATCCCTACAAACCTTCAAAATGAATTTTTCACCCATTGCCCAGGGACGTTTATTCTTAACCACATAGAATATCATTTTTTCTTTGTGCTTTGAAGTTTGTTTAGCGATTGGATTCGTTTTACGGGGAGGGGTTGCTAGCCCCATACCCAACGTTCCCTCTTTACCCGGGCTTAGGACCCGCTTGTAACTAATGAACTAGTTAACCAAGCGAGGTTACAAAATATCATAACCCACAGTTAATTACTGTACTTAAAAATTAGCAGCAGGATTCGAACTAGCGGTCTTTAAGTTACCTACTCGGTGGATAGAAGTAATAGAAATATTCTGCTTCCTTGCTTATAACTAGTACAAACACATAGCTTATCTTCTATCATCTCAAGACAAAATCATTAACCATATATGTTAGATGAGATAAGTGATGAGTTCATCAGATCAATAAATTCCTTGATTAAGTTCACAGATAGTCTTCTAGAGTTCCTGATAGATTGGAAATTAAAAGCAATCTGGTTAACATCTGTGTGAACTCAAAAAGCTCTCCATATATAGACTTGCATTAACCAGTCGCTTACTTATAAATATTCTCTTTAATTCAGCCATTTAATTACTACTGTTCTTCTGAAACTTAAATATCAGAAACTTAGATTTTCATAATGTAATGTGTGGAGTGTTTTCTAAAGATATATCTGTGTATTTTTGAGATGAATGGGGATTTTTAATTTAGAAGTAGTATTCATCATAGACTGATATCAGTTGGGGAACCATTGAAAGTCAGGGAGCATTGGACAGCAGTACTCACCCACGACCCGGCTAGGGATCCAACCCAGGACTTTCAGGTTTCATGGTGACAGCGTTAACCATTCAGCCACTGGGTTGGTTTCTAGTGGTTTACAATTTCCAACTTCTGTCAATTCACGACATAGAGTGACTATCACCCAAGGTCTTCAGTTAGCATCCACTTCATTTCCGACTGGTTGACCCCATAGGTCACGGCTTCTCATTAGAGCTTCCCGATATCCATCTGGGAACCAACCCAGTGGCTGAATGGTTAACGCATTCACCGTGAAACCTAAAGGTCCTGAGTTCGACCACTAGCCATGTCGTACTGCTGAGTATTTTACTGAAATAACCTGTACTAATTGTTTACAGAGATTCAGTAAGTGTTATATGGGGAAAAGTTTTGCTTTCTTGATCTCTCCTTCTCTCTTATTTTTAACTGTTTGTCTTTATGATAAGTATTACTTTGACAGAGAATGTAAAATCTAGGTGAAATATTTAAACATCATTTTATACGGCTATTACTAAATAGTAATAACAAATGATACTTATTGCACAAAATGTGGCTGTTGTGTCTCTATGGCCTAGTAGATAACGTTTCGGCGATTAAAGCGATGTGTGCTGGGTTCAAATCTCAGTAAGCATTGCATCAACAACTAAGGTGTAGTTACACCCAGCTGGTGTGTCCTGAATAGGATGAAATAAGCGTCCTGAATTGTACTGTTAGCCACTACTGAGGAAATGCAGCATAAAACTACTAATTCATATAAAATCACATAGGAAGTTGACATAAATGTGTAACTGGACTCAAGAAAAGTGGGGATTATGAATAATGAATAAAACTTGACAACACAGATGGCTCATTTCAAAGTAAGTTGGTTCATTTATAATCTAGATATGTTATCCGAGGTCAACAACTGCTGATTTATTTTGCATTAACTATACATCAGCAAAAGTATGAAAGATTGCATACACAGAGTGACAGGATCAGGGTAAAGACTGGTGCAAAACTGTATCAGTTGAAGCCGCTAAACATCTGAAACCACAAGTCAATAACTTCTACACCTGCTTAAAAGTTTTTTCTTTGGACGGTTTAGTTTCATCACATTGTAATAACACTGAGATAACCCTAACCAACTTCATGTATAGTTTTCCACTGATCAGGTGTTGCGATGGACAAGATAGCCCACTGCTATGCCATATAACATGGTAAACAATCACTTCATTGCTATCCTATGGAAAGGGATGAGTGACATGGAAGTATATTTTCCATATTCGTTGAAATATCTCTTACTAGATTTAAACATTCCTCATGGCTAACAGTGGAACGCATGACATGCAATTTCGTCCTACTAGGAACTCGTCGTTAGGTGTACTTTCACCAAAAGTGAGTCGTGGTGGCCCATTCATTCTCGAACCCTGAACCCATCGCTTCAAATACCAGAGTATTATCTATCCACTTGGATACTGAGTCAAGGAACTGACCTCTTGTACAACCGGTATGAATTATTATTCCTTATTCTCGCTTGTGGTTTCCTGTTGTTTTACAGGGTCGAACTGCTCTACATCTTTCGATAGATCGGGTGTAATACGGATGTTTCGATACTGCCTGAATATCCTGAATCCGCTGCTAGCCACCAGGTAAATTACAACGGAATGGATATTTAGGCGATAGGTAGACATTTGCATAGGAGCCCATCTGCCAACAGACGTCGAACAGTCCAACCCAGTGAAACGACAAGAAGTTATAAGTACCAAAAAAATAAGAATAACTCTAACTAGAATTGAAGGTGAAAACCCTTTAATTAGATCAAAGAAAATGGAGTATCCCTAAGACACTAGAATGAAGTAGCTAGACAACTAAGGATAATCGTGACAAAAACTGAAATACAAACATCAGTGGAGTGTAAAATAAGTAAATGTTCAAGGAGTACAAGTACTCCATACAGCAGGAATGTGAGAGAAAGCGATGCATTCAAACACAAAATATGGTTATACAATAAGTCGAAATGTAGATGAGAACAAGTCAGATTATAGTATTCTTGTAAGTAGTTGCTAACGCTGAATAATTGAAGCATGAGAAATACTACTTATTAGTAATAAGTAGTAATATAGGACAGGAAAGAAAAATAAAAGGTTTAGAAGAGATGAAATCAGAAATGGGGATAAATTACGTGAACTGAAAAAATGATATCAGTTTCGTCTCTTAGTTCAATTCCGTTCCGTTCGTAAATTGTATAAGTAGTTATATTATGCGCTGATGGTAATTATGGGACCACATGTAGCAACGGCTATTTTGAATATAATGCAATCCGGTAAACAAAAACTGAACTACTGAAAAATGCAAGTTATCAATTTTATACAAACGCTAGATTAGGTCATTATGAAAAACATAAAAAGTAATACTTTTAATTATTATTATTATAAAACTCTCATATCCAGTGGCTTATCTTATATTCCTGTTGTTGATAAATTTCTCCTTCATATTGAAAATATTTCTACTGAAGTAGACTTGACTTCAATATCTATGATTTAATGATAGTTATTACGTAGTTCCGCATGTTGTGGAACCATTACGCGATAAATGTTGAAATGCAATACAAGATATTGGGAAGTAGAGGTATCAATTCATAATGTTTCTAACTGTTGGCGTGAGATATATAGGGAAATGTAGAGTTTTTGGTTGGGAGTGTAATATGACAAATGAAACCGATGTTAAGGAACTGCAACTTATATGACTGAGAATCGATCTCAGAAGTGTAGACCATGAGGTCATTCAGTCAGTCAGTCAATCAATCAATATTAATGTGGTACCTGTATTACTACTTAATGGTCTAAATTACCACACCTCACATCAAAGAGAGAAATAGGTCGACAAAATATAATCAAGGATTGTTAAAAGTCATAGAAATATAAGAAGAAGAAGAAGGCGTCAAATGAATAATATGAAATTTCTAAAAAAAAACTATTCATTAAAGATCATAAAAAATTGTATTTTTCCTGAAATCCATAAATAAACTGTACAAATATACTTTTTAAATCAAAGTATGGCGAATATTTGTAGCTTAGGGTATGGATGTTCAAATTGAGTTGCTCTCTGAGCTAGGAGTAACGCTCTGAAAACAACTCACTCTCAACATACTTCTGAATGACATGAGGGAGTTGTACATTATTCATAACCATAATTTATAATAATAGAATATGTATGTTTTGTAAGCTTTTCTACCAAATCTTTGTAGCACTAGTTCATTAAATTCTATTGATTGACTTTAAGTGACCTTGAACTTTCGAAATCCTGACCTGAAACATACAAGGAAATATCAAGTTCATTCAATGTCTAAGGAACTTTGATTCCAGGGATAAAACCAGTTTAGTATCAACCCATTCAAATAACAAGGTACAATATTGAAATTCAATCCAGTTATTTAGCTGGTTGTATCTGACATAACTCTTGACGCATCAAGAAAAGTACTTACAACAAACTACAAACATTCATCAACAGCTGCCTATGCCCGCTAGATACTGAAGATCAGATGGCCAGAATAATGAGAATAGGCGACAAGGAGCGGTCTCTGGCAACGAACCAACCAAGAACCTATCACCCAACAAATATGCAGTGGAAGGAAGTGGAGATAGATTAGGCATATACACTGAGAAGGCATCACTTGCCAGGTCAGACACTCGAGTAGAATCCAAAGGGGGAAAGGACGAGTTGGGCGTCCAAGACGAGGGTGACATGCAAGATATCACGTCAGGAAGAAATGAAAGCTTGTGGGTAGATGTAGTTTCAGGTTGAAAAGACTGCAGAGAACAGAGTGGAATAGAGACGTCTTACTGGAGTCCTATGTTTCACTAGGAACCCAAGGGAAAAAAAATAATAATAATCTGACATAACTTGGATTGATGTCACTTATGTAGGTTATCAAACAATAACCTTCAGATCTCATCGGCAGGTCATTCTTTTCTTATCAAAAGAAGAAACACCAAAATGAACAAAATATTTATTCATTTAACATAAACTTATATATATATATATATCCATGTTTTTTCATCTTAGCAAGTCTGATGATAAAATGTATAGTCACGTAACTTTCTTAAAACCTAAGGATATGTTAGTATACTATGAAGTTTCCTGAAAATATTACGCTTTTGAGGGATCTGTACTGTGATACTACACACCACTGCAGTACACACTAGTCCAACACAAATTTGAATTCGAAGTGATATTTATCACAAGCTAACATCTGTTGGAGAAATACTGAGAATCTGGAAGCACTGGACAGCTGTTTTGTCTCAGAATGAGACTCCTCAGCCGTCCAGACACATAACCCTGCTTGAAATCGAATCCACAATCTTCAGACTTCGCGATGACATATAATTTTTGAAGATGAAATAAAAAATTCTTTCCTAGATGAAAAGAACTTAACTGGATAGAAAAGCTTTCATTCAACGCAGAAAGTTGTCACAAAGTTTTATGGTTATTATTATATATTGTTATTTTCCCTTGGGTTCCTAGTGGAACATAGGGATTCAGTAGAATGCCTCCACTGCACTCTGTTCTCTGCAGTCTTTTCAACCTGGAACCACATCTACCTACAAGCTTTCATTTCTTCCTCACATGATCTACTCCATGTCACCCTCGACCTGGATGCCCAACTCATCGTTTCCCCTTTGGATTCCACTCGAAGGCTTGGTGCCTAGTTAATTGAAGAAAATTCATATCTCTGTTATTTCATTTTATCTTCTTTTCAGCCAAATCAGATTTATTTACCATACTCCAACTCACTGCAAGTAGACATTTATCTCGACAGTCTACACTACAGACAGATCAAACAACAACAACAACAACATCCACTGTAACTTGCAGTACAATACCGTCATTCGAACAAATCAGTGTTCATTCAGATCTCGATCATTCAAATGCTCAGTTATCCAGTTTATATCATTATTATCCAGAGAAAACAGTTGAAATAAGCCTAAATCACTTCAAAATTCTACTAGATGATATATTTTGGCCTAAAAGTGATGAATATCTTAGTGGGCATGATGAATTTGACCTAAGCTGTTTAGAAAAATTTTTAGACTACTTAAATAAGAAGTTAGTAGAGAATATGTCGAATAAAATTAGATGTGAAATACGAAGAGAATGGATACAAAAAATTATAAACGCTGCTCAAAATTCTTACAGTAATTCAATGGAATTAGTTTACAAATCAATTTTCCAAGTATGTTTTATTACTTTTTATAAATAAAACTTGTTTGGTGGAAAGTAGTAATCAGTAGTAAATGTCTGATTTCTTCTCGTTTTTGGTATTATTCAGAAGAAATAGTAACATAGCATACGCAAACTGCTCACTGGAGAGCAACCAACTTCATGTTGTATTATCCTTAGTGCTGATCGAATTCTATACTATTTTGCAATCTGGTAACTAAGCTAGGAAGCTCACCATCTCGGTGCACGTTTATGGATTTTAGTTGGTTGGAGGTAATCAACAGGAAGCCCTGCGTGATGTAGGTTTCATGATTGTTGACACTTGTCAGCAAGGCGTCCCCGTAACTTTCAGGGGACTGATGTCCTGTCTGATATTCGAACCTACATCATTCAGTCTTGTAGTCAATGACGTTACTACAAACAGTATGGAGTTGTTTACTCTTCAGTAACCGGACCTAATAGCTTAGGCTGAAAAAAAACAACGAATAGAACAGGTTTCTATCCCAGAGGGGACATCATTTCCCTCAAATTTGCAGATACTCCTTGCTGACGAGTACCAGCAAGTATGATACCAAAGTTAAGCATGGCTTCCTACAGATTACAACCAACCAGTCAATATTTTCGTTATTTAATTGTGAATAAACTTTGTAACTGAAACCAAAGAACACATACATTTTTCCCTTTGAAAATTGAAATGGAAAGCTGAACTAGTGCAGGGAATATTCTACTGTTTAGAAAAGGTAGTCAAAGAGCAAATAATCCTGTCACTAGCTGTTTGATTTAAGCCTATAAAATTAGGCTGATGATGACCTATTTTAACTGGCTAGGCTTTATAATTTTAACTATTGAATGCTATGAACTGGATTCACTGTTAATCTCATAATCGAAAGTAAGAAATAATCATGTGGTATGTATACATCAGTATACATAAAGATGATGATAATGAATGCTTTGTTCAATTTGAACCAGTTGCTTCTTTTTCAGTGATTAATTTCCTTGTTCATTTGAAAGTTTCAGCCGCATCATCCTGGAGAGGCTTAAAGATGCACTGGATTTAAAACTACGACCGGAACAGGCGGGCTGGCTTCAGGAAGTACAAATCATGTGCAGACCAAATTGCAACGCTTCGTATCATCATAGAACAGAGCATAGAATGGCAATCACCTCTCCACCTCAACTTCATCGACTTTGAGAAGGCCTTTGACAGCGTCGACCGAGAAGTAATTTGGAAACTGCTTCAATACTACGGAGTACCGCAAACCTTTATCCGCCTCATTCAACAACTATATGAAGATGCCACATGCCAAGTAATTCACAATGGGAAGCTCAGTGATGCCATGGAAGTGAAGTCGTAGGAGTAAAACAAGGTTGCCTACTATCCCCCATGATATTCTTGATTGTGGTGGACTGGATCATGCAGCAAACAGTAGGCAGCGAGAAGAGGGGGATACACTGGACAACGGAAAAGAACCTAGAAGACTTGGATTTCGCCGATGACTTATGCCTAATGTCACACAAACTGGAAGATCTGCAGGCAAAAACTAACAAATTGATAGAAGGGCAGGGCAGCGAAGACGGGACTTCAGGTGAATATAGAGAAGACAGAAGTGATGAAGATACCGCACCACCACCATCAACAACAACAACAACAAACTCCAATCACCGTCAACGGGAGAAACTTGAAGGAAGTAACCTCCTTCACTTATCTAGGAAGCACTGTTTCAACTACAGGCGGGACGGACGAGGACGTCAAAGTCAGAATCGGAAAAGCAAGACAGGCATTCATTAGCCTGAAACCAGTGTGGAGATCTTCTGCACTCAGCATGCGGAACAAGATACGGATTTTCAACACCAACGTCAAGTCAGTGCTCTTGTATGGCTCAGAGACTTGGCGCGTCACGAAAGGTATTTCCAATAAACTACACACATTCATCAACAACTGCTTACGCTCGCTGCTGAAGATCAGATGGCCAGAAAAAATAAGCAACAAGGAACTCTGGGAACGAACCAACCAAGAACCTATCACGCAACAAATATGCAGGAAGAAGTGGAGATGGATTGGCCATGCACTGAGAAGGCCGACGGAGGACATCACGCGTCAGGCCCTCGAGTGGAATCCCCATGGGAAGCAACGAGTTGGGCGTCGGTGCCGAGGGTGACATGGAGGAGGTCGTGCGAGCAGGAAATGAGAGCTTGTGGGCTGTCGTGGGACCAGGTTCAAAAGATCTCAGAGAACAGGGTGTACTGGAGGCGTGCTACTGAAGCCCTATGTTCCACTAGGAACCCAAGGGACTAATAATAATAATAATATTTGAAAGTTTCGATGTAACAGTGTATGAAATAGATGACAGGAAGGGTTTCTGAGAAAATTAACGTTACCTGGCCAAGAATTAGTTAAATAGAATTTAGTGATCTGTGACGTTTTTGGTTTACACGATGGAATTTAAAAAAAAATTACAATGATTTAATTTTCCTTATTAGTGGTACGCATCTACATATTAAAAACTCTGGTAACGAAACAATCAAGAACCCATCTCCCAATAAATATGCAGGAGAAGAAAGTGGAGATGGATTGGGCAAAACACTGAGAAAGCCATTCGGGGACATCATGAGCCAGGCCAGGCCACTCACTTGAGTGGAATACAAGGGGGAAACGACCAGTTAGGCGTCGGTGCCGAGGGTGACATGGAGGAGATCATATGAAGAAGAAATGAAAGGTTGTGGGTAGACGTGGCGTCAGATTTAAAAGACTGCAGAGAAGAGAGTACAATGTAAGCAGGTTACTCAAGCCATATGTTCCAATAGGAACCCAAGGGAAAAAAAATCTATATATGAGTAAAACTCGGGCACTACGGTAGAATGTAATTCCATTTTAGTTGATTTATTAGATGTCTTGGTTGTTTTGTGTTCTCTGAGCCGGATTGTTTAGTCGCAGAGTTTTTATCGTCTTTCTAGACATCACCAGCACTAACTTCATTATGAAATGAAATGTCATTATCTCTCCACCAGCTATTTAATAGCTTGACCTGATGAAGTGGTTCGTGACTGGATGTTTCCATTCATTAGTGTGTCATTGACTGTATAGGTTTTCCTGTTGACTCTTTGTCTGCTTGACCTCTGACCTTTCTGTCGTTTATCATCTTTGTTATTGGTTGATAGATTGAGTATACATCTATACATCTGTTGATTGCTGACTGACTGACTGACCTGAATGCCAAGCGTCTAAGAATTTTCTGATATTCTTTGTGTTTCCCTTCTCCGACCAAGATTTCTAAATTGTCGAAATTGAATTCATGTCCATAGTTGTAATCCACATGGACTGAAATGAGTGATGAAATGTTGTGACGTTTAATAGCCAATTGGTGTTCATGTAAATGATAACCACCCAACCAATAAGAAAAATGATAAGCGACAGGAAGGTCAGAGGTCAAGCAGACAGACAGCCAACAGGAAAGTCTATACAGTCAGTCGATGAGACAACAATCGAAGGAAACAACCAATCGCAGACCACAACATCAGAGCAAGCCACTAAATCACTCACTGACGGAGAGATATTGACAGCTCACTTCATACTGAAGTTAGTGTTGGTGATGTCGTATGGAAAGACGATGGGAGTTCCATGACTAAACAAGCCACCTGAGAGAACACAATACAACCAAGACCATCCACCTGAGCTACAAATATTCTCCACCAGTTATGAGATGTATCACACATTGAGACAGCGTTGTTTATTGCATTACTTTTCAGATACAATTAATTGTGTTAGTTGAACGGAGGTAATCGGCAGGAAGCCCTGGGCCAAGGTTTCATGCTTATTGGCACTCGTCAGCAAAGGGTATCAGTAACCTCTATGGAAACGGTATTCAGCTTGAGATTCGAACCCGCTTTATCCAGTGTCGCATTTAGAGATATTACCGCTGAACTACTTTGACCTCGATTAACCTCTTGTGGGACTAGATTAGGTGTGTTGACTGATCACTGGATAGTAACCAACTTCATGTTGTCTAGTCCTAAATGTTGACGGAGTTTTGCCTATAATTTCGCAATGTGGCCACGAGGCAGGTTGGAGATACGTCTTGCTGGTGAGTGCCAAAAGCACGAAATCTAAGTCTAGGGACTTCTGCGATTACCTCCATCTAATTAACATGTAACTCAGAGCACTACAATGGCGAGTCTCCTAGCTTGGCGACCATATTGCAAAGTGATCGACAGAATTTCATCTGCACTTAGGACTATACTACGTGAAGCTAGTTACCCTCAAGTAACCAATGAGTGTGCAATTTATTGTTCACAATCATGTGACGGTAACTTCACAACTTAAAGACATGGTATTTATGGGTTTTTTTCTGTCTTCTTCTATCTGATATGAGCAGTAGATGATTTCATTATTCCTACTTGGTGTATTTAAAGTTAGTTCAATTGACAAAGATTCCATCGTGAATCTCTCACTGCATCAAAGTGAAGTAGTTTTGAGGATTGTCGTTCTATCCCACCTAGTTGTATGGTCTTATGCATTTGCACGCATAGCTACAGACAAACTTTTTTATTGTAGGATGGAAAGAGAGACTGATAACCAAATGTCTGTTCATGGAATCGTTACCAAATCTATCCAATAGGAATGATTCAACACCTGTTGCAGAAAAATAAAGAATTCTACTAATCGTGACTAGTAATACGTAAACCACGTCTGAAAGTTATAGAATTACGATGATATGAATATGGTCGGTAAATTGTGTCATTTTGTGGTACGTATGATCAACAAACTAATAGGAAAAGACTACTATCGAAATACTTATAATACTTTTAACGTAAAAGTGAGTTTTTCTTGGCTTATAAACGACCAGAAATGAAAACTTTCCAATAGTATTCAAGTTATTTTGAAAACGATTGAAAATATGACAGTACTAGACAAATAGAATGAAACAACTTTCCAATACTACCGGGTATTCAATGGTTGTCAAAATGATGTCAATCTTTGATGAATTATTATTATTATTTGTCCCTTGGGTTCCTAATAGAACAAAGGGATTCAGTAGCACGTCTCCAGTGCACTCTGTTCTCTGAAATCTTTTGAACCTGGCTCCACGACATCCCAGAAGCTCTCATTTCCTCTTCGCACGATCTCCTCTATGTCACCCTCGCCTCGGACGCCCAACTAGTCGCCCAATTCATCTCCACTTCCTTCCACTGCATATTTGTTGAGTGATAGGTTGTTGGTTGGTTCGTTGACATTCACAGTTCCTTGTTGCTTATTCTTATTATTCAGGCCATCTGATCTTCAGTAACGAGCTAGCGTAGGTGGCAGTTGCTGATGAATATCTGTAGTTTGTTGGAAATACCTTTCGTAACGCGTCAAGTCTCTGAGTCATACAGAAGCACTGACTTGACGTTGGTGTTGAAAGTCCGGATGTTGTTCACGCTTGTTTCTGAGTAGAGTGCAGAAGATCTCCACATTGGTTTCAGGCCAATGAACGCCTCTCTTGCTTTTCCGATTCTGACTTTGATATCCTCGTCTGTGCCACCGCCGCCTGTAGTTGAAACAGTGCTGCCTAGATAGGTGAAAGACACAACTCCCTTTATGTTTCTTCCGTTGATGGTAATTTGAGTTTGTTGTTGGTTGGGTATCTTCATCACCTCTACCTCTGTCTTCTCTATATTCACTTGAAGTCCCGTATTCCTCCACTGCCTCACCTCTTCTGACAACTTGTTAGTTTTCGCTTGTAGATCTTCAAGTTTATGCTACAAGACATCAGACACAAGTGATGATTGGCGAAATCGAAATCTTCTAGATTGTTTTCATCGGTGCAGCGTATCCCCCTCTTCTCGCTGGTCACTGTTTGCTGCATGATCCAGTCCAGTCGACCACAATCAGGAGTATCATGGGTGATAGTAGACGGCAGCCTTGTTTTACTCCTTGCTGTCTTCACTTCACCTCGAAGGCATCACTGAGCTTCCCATTGTGAATTACTTGTCATGTGGTGTCTTCACATAGTTGTTGAATGAGGTTGATAAATGTTTGTGGTATTGCGTAGTGTTGAAGCAAGTGCCAGCCAAATTACTTGTTGGTCGACGCTGTCAAAAGCCTTTTCAAAGTCGATGAATACCAATGTGAAAATCAGTATATCCTCACAAACTTTTAATTTGAATTCATCATCATCATCATCATTATCAACATAGGACCAGGCACTACTGCGTAACGGTCCGAGTTGCCACACCTCATATCAGTACATCAAGTAGAAAAGTAGTGAGGTGAAGGATGAAGATAAGTGAATGTAGTCAAAAGAAATATAAAGTACGAGAAGAAAGGACTTTTAATAGACAAACGAATATCACGGCGGCGCCATAGGTGGCGCAAATTGGCAAAAGCCAATCGAGCCTTTTGTATCCGTGCAGAAATTTCATCGGCTTAATTTGAATTAGGTAATATAGTTGTTTTAAGCAGCAAATAATGGTTTGAATTACTACATTAATAACTAATGTTTCTAGCACTACAGCCAATTTACCTGTTATAAGTATACAAGATATCGAAAACAGCTACTTACGGTGCTATTACCTATCTTTAAATATTATACAAACCCTGGTATCTATCACACAAGAATGTCCTTTGAGATTCCTTTATTCCCCTTATGTATTTCCTTTCATTTCTTTACTCTAAAATTTGCATAACGGAGTCAGTTTTGTTATTTTTTTGACTCTTATTTACAGTCAGTGAGATAAACTATGGAAGTATGAAGTATAGTAAGTATGCAAATTAGTCGCCAAGACTGAACCAATAAGGCTTTGTAGTCTTGTACGCTCTGAATCAATCAAAATGCATCAGTTACGCTTTGTATTATGCCCATCAAGCTAAATGATATGACACTAGAACGGCGCTGTATTTTGCTGTTTTATACTGGGAACAAATCGGTTGGACGTTGTTACTGTTATTTGACTTCCAACAGCCAACACATAATAAGTATTTCATGAGATATCTGAATGAATAGCTAATGAAATATCAGACAGTTTTTGTGAGAGAGTCAGTCATGTTACAAACATGCTGAATATGCTTATCCACGTTAATCAGACACGCCTGGTGGACATACATGAGTCTGGCTAATCGAACACCATCATTTTAAACCTTGGAAGGTTACTTCCACTGGAAACTGACAGCATGTATGTGTATGATTAGATGATATGTTGTGCTTACTTTTGTAACAGATCATGTTGCTATAACTGAATTGGTTGTGGCTAGCAGTGGAATTCAAGAAGCGCTTTTCGTCCAATTTGGAACTCATCAGTTGGATATACTTGTACCCCATTCGGTGATGTTGTCCCCATTGAAACTCAAACCTCATATCCATGGCTTCAAACACCTAAGCCGTACTCACTAGACCACTGAGTCATTTTTTGATATACTTATAATTCTATATTATTTTACTGGAGAAGATTGATCGACCTCTATTGGAAGTTGGTCTCCTATATGGATGCCTCGATACTGCATGAATATCCATTCCATTTTATTTTCCTAATGGTTCGTGGCAGAATCCAGGATATTCATGCAGTATAGTGGTATCACCATCAGAACCTATCAGCTGACAGATGTGGATCAATTCTATCCAGTATTACAACTATCAACAAATGATAAGATCATGGTGTTGTGACTATAATTACTTCTAACCAATAGTATTTTGATTGCAATACTTTGTTTTCATCTTCTATTTTTCGAAAAAAAGATACTTGTAAAAGATACATTAAAGCATGGTGGACAAAAACAGATTGGTGTTAAAATTGCTATACTTTGTCCTACAATCAATGAAAATATGCTATCATCAAGTATCGATACACAATACTGTTTACAGTATGTAGCAGCTATACCAGATTCAGATGCTGAAAGTGTACTTGGTAAATCTCCAGAGAAACAAAAATCGGATTTACTAACTCAGGTAAGCGTCTTAAGGTGTAACTGGTTTACAGTGATAATCAAAGCGTTTCGATTTTTCACTAACATTATTTAAGTAGTATAGTTGTTTTATATGATACCGTCGTTGATTGGACCGAATTGATCGGCTTCTATTGGCATATGGGCTCCTGTGCGGATGCGTTCATATCACCTGCGTTCTAATTATGTTAATGATAGATAGTGGCTAGCAGTGGAATCCAGGATGCGCATTTTGTCCTATTTGGCACTCATCAACTGGATGTACCTGCTTCCCAGTGCAGTGATGTTGTTTCCCCCGGGATTCGGAATCAGGAGCGATCGCTTCAAACGCCAGATTGCTCTCCACTGCACCACCGAGTCACGATAGCCACCTCTTGTGCGATGGGTATAGTTTTAGTATAATTGTTGATATAATTAGAACACAGGTAATATCGAGGCATTCGCACACGATACCATATACCGATAAAGACTGATCGATTCGGATCAATCAACGCCGGTATGATATAAGAAAAATTATACGAATCGCTATACCCATCGCACAAGAAGTGGCTATCATGACTCGGTGGTGTAGTGGAGAGCAATCTGGCGTTTGAAGCGATCGCTCGTGATTCCGAATCCCGGGGGAAACAACACTCTGCACTGGGAAGCAGTTACATACAGTTGATGAGTCTCAAATGGGATGAAATGTGCATCCTGGATTCCACTGCTAGCCACGATCCATCATTATCAAGTGTTTTTGCTTCAGAAAATTTATCACATCTATAATAATAAATACTACATATCTCTAAGCTTATTCTCTTTCTTCCTCTTAGTGTCTAAGAACTGGATCAACATTAGTCCATTGTGAGATGTCAAACATTAAAAAATTCTCTAATTTGAACAAAGAATCACAGAATACATCTGTGTATAATGATACAGAATTCAACGTAAATCATCAGTCAGTACCATTTGCTCTTGCTATACCAATTCCAAACACGAAGAAATACTTCATTGGCTTAATGGAGGTGAATAACTTCTCTGATAGTGGACAACAACCGAAATTCGAAGAGCATGAAATACAATTCTACAGAGTAAGAAGTGAATATATATATATATATCTTAAAGTTTAGTCATTCCATCTGAAGTACTAGACCTTTCACCATCAGCTAAAATGGATTGAGGAGCTTTAAATACTATTTTAATGCTAAAAAAACCATGGGAAGAATCATAATTGTAGATAGTATGAAATATTCATTCATATTTGATTGAATCAAGTTTTCTTAGTTTCTACAACATTATTCCCTTCAAGTAAAATCATCTTCCAAATCAGGATTATACGTGTTAAAACCTTTAAAAATTCTCATTCTATGAATTCAACGATACTATGAACAAGTCAGTGGTTCTAAATGCTTAAGAGACTTGGCGCGCTACGAAAAGCATTCCCAACAAACTACAGACATTCATCAACTATTGCCGACGCTGGCTCGATACTGAAAATCAGGTGGCCAGAACAATAAGAATAAGCAACAGGGAACTGTGTGTGGGAATGAACCAACCAAGAACCTATCACCCAACAAATATGCAGGAGAAGGAAGTGGAGATGGATTGGGTATACACTGAGAAGACTGACTGGGAATATAATGAACCAGGCCAGTCCCTCGAGTGGAACACAGATGGGAAAGGACAAGTTGGGCGTTGGTGCCAAGGGTAACATGGGTGAGATGGTGTGAGGAAGAAATGAAAGGTTATGGGTAGACGTGGCACTAGGTTGAAAAGTTTGCAGAGAACAGAGTGCAATGGAGGCGTGCTACTGAATCCCTATGTTCCACTGGGAACCCAAGGGACAAATAACCTGAAAAAATAACGAACAAAATATATTCTTTTCAAAAAATTTCCAGTAGATCCTGTAGTTATATGTTGAAATTGTTATGCATAAAAACAGATCAAGACTCAGGCAAATACATTTTCAAAATGGAATAGGAACTAGGGAATATAAGGAAATCAGTTTTTCTTATCAAATTTATCAGTGTCAAGCTGAATTATATGCTTATGTAGAGTGTGACAGTGAAAGAAAAGAATAATACTAGTTGTATGGAGGTAATCGAAAGCAAAACCCTTCATGATCTAGGTTTTGTACTTTTGAGATTCGTCAGCAAGGCATGACTGTGACCTCGACGAAGCTTAGATCCTATCTGAGAAAACATTGAACATGGATGACAGCACTTACTCTTAGTCTATAGTCTGTAACAATTGAATGTGTTCCTTCTGAATGTAGATTTTGTCAATCTGGTTGTTACAGCTTCATATATGTACAGAAGGTGTTGGCAAACTACAGTGCAGTGTATGACAGTAAAAAGCTGTATTTACATCTGTATTATGGTCTATATTTACCAACTGTACTAAGAAAAAACTTTCTACTACTTTGATTTTGCCTTTTGCACACCAAGTTGGCAAATGTTATCGTAACCGCAGATTTAATAGCTCAACTCTAAGTCCTATACAACTTATTCCACATGTACAAGTTAATTACTCAGTCATTTATAATTAAGATATCTACGACATAATATCTATGAAGATCAACACACTAACTCTGATTCCATATTATACTCTTGATTTGATGTGGCACACAGTGATACAGTATAATTTACTGGATGATGTCTTGAGCGGAATTTATCGTTCATATTATAATTCATATGATGTTCAAAATTCCTTTCTATAGTTCAACGGTTCATTCGTCTATTTAAATGGTAGTAAAAAGTTCCCAGATATCTACAATATGTGACATGGTTTAGGTGATAGTTGATCCAATGAACAATGATTCTGTAATCAGTTTCTCCCTCCACCTAGCTATCTCTATTGGATTTTAAGATTTCCACCTTATCCCATCAGTTCTATAGTGTGATTATGGGTCAGTGCATGCAGAGCGATGGTTGAGTTTTTCTCTAAGTTACTCATTTTAATAGGGTTTACCATTGTATGCTTTGCTAAATATTTCTGAGTTCTGCTATTCTGACTAACGTTGATCAGCTTCAGTGACCTGTATACATTACATGGTATTTGGTAGATTAGGTTATTTTTCTTAACTGGCTTTACTGGATCTTTTTAGCCTACAAGGTTTCTCTCTGAATAAGTTTGTGGATTTAAACGCCACCCTAATATCAGTATTGTTAAAATTTCTACAAGAAGTTTCCGATGTGCCTTCTTGATACGGAGATACTACAAAGGATTTGAATTCTCTCTTAGACATATCGCAACCTCTACTAACACTCTTCCTCTTATCAGTCCTTATAGATACTTGAATAAAACTTAGAGGATCATTATTAACAAGTAGTGTCTCTTTGATGTGTTCAATTTTTCTGACTTACTAGTTTAACTCTTACACTAACTTTGAGTTCTCATGAACACGATATCGACCATTCCTAAAGAATTGTTGACGCAATTACCTACAAATTAGTACAAATCAAGGTTGAAGAAACAGAAGGAAGTCGATTTGAGACAGGAATTCAAAAATGGATGTTTACTGATAGGATTTTCAGGAATAGTTTTCTGAATGAATCAATACGACAGTATTTAGATTCTCATGAGAGATTTGTAGGCAACAGTGAAAAATAATCCAAACTGTGTCAAATTTATGTGTAGTTTTTACTCTGTTAATAATGGATGGCGGCTAGCAGTGGAATCCGACCACTCATCTAGAAGTATCTGACGTCCACTGAGTCATGCTGTTCAGACTGACAAGCTTATATGCCAATAGCAATTTATTAGTTAGGTCTAATCAACAATGGGAAATTACAAGCTATAACATCAAAATAGCTTATCCTAACAGTTTTTCTCATTTGTATTTTTAACTGAATAAATCGAAATTATTGGTTGGGCATGTAGTACTAGTTTCGGCGGTACAGAATACACCCATCATCTACACCGATAGGCTACTTTAATGATAATTAGTAGTGCTATCGAAAACAATCGTCTGATTGCATTTTTCACTTATCAAATAGATTCAGCTGCACATAAATCAGTTACATTACAGAGTTGTTTGTGCTATGAGCTAAGGCCAATATATCTAATATAATAACTTAACACTAGAAATATAAAACTTTCTACTGGCAGTAAATACCAGTGGGTAGGTAGTTAGAAATGGATATCTTAACTGATCAGGCAAGTGAAATACAGTTGCTTATGTTTTCTAGTCCTACATGCTGATCGAGTTATATCGATGGTTTTGCAATGTGGCCACCAAACTAGGAGACTCATCATTGCAATGCACTATGATAGATGTAAGTTGGGTAGAGGTAGTCGATAGAAGGCCCTGAACATGTTTTTTATGCCTATTGTAACTCGTCCGCAAGACGTAATTGACCTCCTGTGCGACTATATTCTATGCACTAATTGGTCACTAGATAGTAACTGTTATGAAGTGCGTCAGTATCCTCTGGATTCCTCAAAGAAGCGTGCGAATCCCTGAAAACCCTTCACAGCTAATCATAGCATGCTGAACGTCCGCGAAAACCACGTGATCATATGTGTGAAACTCATATTGGTTAAAGGACCCTCTAGAAGAGTGTGGAACTTCCAAGGGCCATCAAGAAATGTACATAAATCGTTTACTTTCGTACATATTCGACTGGACTGTTTCTTTTCTGTTTTCGAGGAACAGATAGACCTTCAATGGTGAAGCCTAGGGTTATTTTTCGAGAGTTAACTCATATATATATATATATATATATATATATATATATATACCACAAGGATATATTAGTAATTAACACTAGTCAACGCGGGTTTGAATCTCAAGTGAAACATCAGATCCGTTGAGGTTGCAGATACGCCTCGCTGACAAGTGCCAAAAAGCACGAAACCAATCTCTAGGGCTTTCTGCTGATTGCCTCCACATAATAAACATCTATTTCAGTGCATCACGATATTAAGCCAAATAACTTGGAGGCTACATTGAACATTTAGGAGTAGATATTATGAAGTTGGTTGCCCTCAGTGAACACTCAATGTACTTAATCAACCAAGCATATAAACAAACTTAAGTTATTTTTTTGATCCTTTAAAGGTAACTCTCATATATAATCAGTTTTAAGCAAATTGAAATGAACAATCAAGTAGTTTTACTTCCAGCTAGTATAACAGAAATGTCCTATTTCGTATAACTTACCAAACATCGATTTCATATAGACAGATTGTTAGAACATATGTATTAGGTTGTGAAATAGTTTCTCTCACAAATTTATGCAGTGTAGTGATTGATTACAGCAGAATTCAAACCAACCGCCTTCCGGGTTACCCACTCCATGATCTACCAACTCAGCTACAAAACCCAGTTTACTTGATAGAAAATCAGGTAGGTAACTATGAGGCTGGCGGTTTTATCTCATCGACAAAATTATCACAATTTATCTGATGAAAATATTACAATACTGTTGCGTTGATAAATATCAAGCTTTAACTGTTTCGAATATTCTCGAAAGAATTGGATATCAAGCGTAGTTTACCTTGAGAAATATCTTTTTTAAAATATTTTATTTGTTGCACAGTAAAAATTATTCTAATTGATCAAGATTCATGAAAAGAATTTATACTTTACAGTCTACACTTTTATTCAATGCAAAGTTATTTTGTATTTGAGCTATATTTGTGTTTAAAATATTAGTAATTGTTGATTCTAAAAATAAAATAATATTTCACGTAAAGTATTTTCATTTAATAACCATTGAAAAGTGAAATTTTCAATAAATTTTGCATTTTCACTTTGTCTACTAACATTTTTATAAGTAGTATTATGATTTAAATCTCGAAATACACTCAAGTTTATATTAGATAAATTTGTTATTTTTAAATGATCAATTTCAAATCGTACAGCTCCATTTTGATTAATAAATAAGTGTAAGCTGACATTAAAATATAAATTAATAAATTGAACATGTATCAAGTTATTTTCAGTGTTTAAATAATTCCAATTAGGCAATAATAACCAGTTTGCAGTTAATAGTATATTCTTACTGAATCCAAGTGAAAATTTAATTTTATATACATCACATAATTTTTTATCACGTTTCATCATCCATTCTTGAATAGAAACATC